CCGTGGAAAGTGATCGAATACACCAGTTTTCCCGTCGCGTGTGTTACCCGTGTGCAAAATACAGTGCTGCCAGACCGTCAAACTGAAATTTACCGGTTTTTCCCCAATTTCTCAGTTTTCCGAACTCGGCCCCCAACGTGAGACCCCCCAAAAGTTGCGCCCCGCTAACAGTGGAATCAGAACACCCGCACTCTTGGAGAGAGTCACATCAAACTCATACCTGTAGTTGCGTTCAGGTTGGAGCTCGACGGTTGCGGTTCGAAGAGCGCGTCTTACAGGAGATGTTGCAAGGTAAATAAGCACGGATAACGGAGAAAGCAGCAACAAAAACATGATCAACCGGTGGGAGCTACTTATTGCATCTAAAGTAATGCCCTCTGAACTATGTAACAATTAATTTAAAAAAAACTTTTCAAAGTATAAAGATATGATAAGTATCGAGTATTAACCATATCTTAACATGTAGTTATTTAGTTTCGCACTCGACCTTATATTAATGTACGGACTTTGATAATGATGTTTTTGAAATTTACAATCGATTAATAAACACTATTATAATTTTAGACTACTATATTATCTATAAAAAATTTTTAAATAAAATGAATAAGATACTTATAAATTTATAGTGAGAAATAATCTAAATAAATCAATGTGTTCAAAACCGTGAATTTATAATGATAAGAACTAAGACATACATACATTTCAGGTGAAACTTTGCATTGAAATTCCAAAACAGTGCGATCAATAAATCATTTTGTATTGGACATTCAGCAAGTGAATTTTTCGAATCCAAACTCAATAAATCTCTCCTTTCTCTGCTCTTTATCGAAGTCATAAGATAAGAGCAGATTTCAGGTCACTGAAGAGGGAGAACAACTGCTGGCAGTGGTCAAGGCCCGTTGAGAACCCAGTGCGATGCGATTGTTGTCAAAATAGCCGGCTAAACTACTTACTGCTGCCCACCTACCGTTTTTTAGCTCTTTAATTGACAGAGTGATTGATCTCGCTAATTACAATTACATATCAATTATAATTGGCACCCAATCAGAGGTCGTGGGAGCAGCATTATTAATTAGCCGCAATTGTTATTATGTGTTCCACTTGCCACGCGTTTCCAAAACTCTCTCTTACTTGGCTCTCTTCAGTGCGATCAATAAATCATTTTGTATTGGACATTCAGCAAGTGAATTTTTCGAATCCAAACTCAATAAATCTCTCCTTTCTCTGCTCTTTATCGAAGTCATAAGATAAGAGCAGATTTCAGGTCACTGAAGAGGGAGAACAACTGCTGGCAGTGGTCAAGGCCCCTTGAGAACCCAGTGCGATGTGATTGTTGTCAAAAAAGCCGGTAAAACTACTTACTGCTGCCCACCTACCGTTTTTTAGCTCTTCAATTGATAGAGTGATTGATCTCGCTAATTACAATTACATATCAATTATAATTGGCACCCAATCAGAGGTCGTGGGAGCAGCATTATTAATTAGCCGCAATTGTTATTATGTGTTCCACTTGCCACGCGTTTCCAAAACTCTCTCTTACTTGGCTCTCTTCAGCGCCCACGCAGCTCTCTCTTTCGTGCGGTACACTTTTCAGGCACACTTAAAAAAACCCGTTGCGATGGTAAATGACAAAAATAAACAAACAAGTATTATAATATTTGAATTTGAAATAATTTTTGGTATTTGAATACTGTTAGGTCAAATTTGTAAGTGTAGTAGTATAAGGGATAAATGAGTTATGCCTATTTTCTACACCCATTAAAAAAATTCATATTAAAATTTGGGAATAATTACAAGATGAGAGCTTGGCTTATCTTTCAAGTAAATCCTAAGCCTTATGTTATTTTGACAATTTTTTAAGTCATTTTGTTATTTGGAGAAGGTTTGAATCACCTCTACTGACCAATTAAGTTTAATGTTTTTGTCAGCTGTATACATTTATTTGAAACAATTTTAAGTTGAATAATATGTTTTGTCATAACACTTTTTACAATTTGTACACATCAAAGTCCTATTTCACAAGCGCTTTTCTTTCTGTGTGCGGTACATGTAAGAATGGTACTCCTTGAACTTTAGGGCGCCATACTCATTTCCGGTTTCCGTTACTTTGTGTGCGTGCGAAATTTGAATTGCGTGGCAAAGTTTTGCCGCCCAGCGCTTTTTTGCGCATCTGAATTTTATTGAAAACACATTAAGACATCCCAGCACCAGCGGCACTTTCGCCGGAAGTTGCCAATTTCCCTGACGAGCGCCCCCTTTTTTGTGGGCGTGACCCGTCGAGGGAAATCAAATTGTCTGGTGCAATGGCAAAGCGAATTGTATTTTGCCGCCAATAAACATAGCTTCCTCTGGAGCAGGCTAATCAACGTTGGGCAAGAGCCGAAAAATGTAATGTCGCGAAGAGCGGGAGAGTTTCTATTCCACCCCAGCAGGCTGATAAGACGCCTGCATTGCATTGATTAGATAAGACCTGGGAGCGGGAGCTTTTTCCCATTTGATAGCATATGCGGAGACACCTAATCGCGCTTAGTCACAGGTTGCCAAGGCGCGCAGACGGTCAGAAATGGACGACACCGACTTCTCGCTCTTCGGCCAGAAGAACAAGCACAAGAAGGACAAGGCGGATGCCACGCAGATCGCGAGGACGCCCACCTCGGAGCTGGACCTCAAGAGGATCATAATCTCGCGCTCCACCACCGAGGACACATACGAGAACTGCGCCAGGGCGGGCATCGCGCTGATCTTCAATCACAAGGACGTCAAGGGGCAGAAGCAGCGAGTGGGCACCGAACGGGATCGCGATGATATGCAGGCCACGCTCAAGGGATTCGGATTCGATGTGCGGACCTACGACGATCTGACCTTCTCCGACATCAACGACAAGCTCAAGGAAGGTGAGTTTCCACTGTTACATATAGCGCCGTAGCGCACTCATAAATCACTAAAACCGCTTTATCAAGTCTATTTTTGTCTTGCATGGTAAAATGCTAGGTAATGAATTGCTTAAAGAAGACAATTTATAGAATAAGGCGTGTTTATTCCCCTGAAAGTATTTTTATATTCAAAATAGAGCTAGCAATTAAAATTCTTTAATTCTACTTTGTACAATCACTATTATTGTTATACAAATTAAATTTTTGGCCGATTCTAGTTCATCGGAATCGGTAACACATTTCAAACTCAGATATCTTATCTTTATCAAAACAAAGTCACTACTATTATGACTGCAACAATTATGAGATAACGACAGTAATCGGATTTTCTGATCGATCTTTATTTTATATTCAAATGAAAACTAAACAGTGTTCCATATGTAATGAATATTCGTGTAGATAATAATTACCCTTCGATGAGTGTTAAACGGATAAGATTATATTTTCTATTGACTTTGTAGAGAATGCGGATTTCCAGCTGATTCAAGGTCTAAATAAATCATCAATGCCAATACAAACTGAACTTGAATGATATTATATTTTACGCTGACTAATTCCAGTTGCTCGCGAGGATCACAGTGAAAACGATTGCTTTGTGTTGGCGGTGATGTCGCACGGTACCGAGGGCAAGGTGTTTGCCAAGGACATGTCATATCCTGTGGAGCGTTTGTGGAATCCCTTCCTCGGCGACAACTGCAAGACGCTGAAGAACAAGCCAAAGCTCTTCTTCATCCAGGCCTGCCGCGGCGAGAATCTGGAGAAGGCCGTCGAGTTCACAAGTTTCGCGGTGATGACCCGGGAACTGGTCCCGGATACCGCCGCCCCCGTTCAGCCCATTACGTATGCCATCCCCAGCACGGCGGACATGCTCGTCTTCTATTCCACCTTCGACAGTGAGTGTTGACAAATGTAATCTCCTTTTCATAGTTTCACAATGGAATGAAAGTGTTCGTGCCTTACAAAGCTCTTAACATCAATCAACTATGCGTTTCTTGCGGATCGAGAGTATTAAATATTATTCAGCTTATTCAGTGCGTTTAAATTAAAGCGGAAATACCTGTTGTAGTAAGATGTTAATACGTAAAAAAAAAGGTGTGGGTTCATGAAATTATTAACGATACAGTTTTTAAAGGTCGGCCTTTGTAAAACATTATTTAAATTAATATGAAGTTACACAGAAAAACCTTTTTTAAACCGTATTACATATTATTATTTCAAAACTAAAGCTTTAGTATAGTTTTGATTCATGCAAAGTTATATGTAAATAACATATTTTTAAAGCAATGTTATTTCTTGTTTTCCATTTTTAGCAAGTTTTTAAAAATTTGTTCAACAATCTATTTAACAACGTAAATATTTAAATTGGTTAGTTTTGAAACTCCTTAAAAAGCTTTACTTTTTTTTTCTTTTTTTTGTCTTTCAGTAAATTTTATTAATAAATGTATTTACGAGTTTTACTTCTGAAAGAATACACTTTAATTTCTTAACTTATGAGAATTTTCTAAAAATTTTCTTCTGATATCCGTGAATTCCTTGGATCTAATTGAGCCTTCTTATTGCTTCCAGAATTCTTCTCGTTCCGCAACGTAGACGATGGCTCCTGGTTCATCCAGAGCCTGTGCCGGGTGCTGGACGTGGCCGCCGCCAACGAGGCTTCCCAGCCGGAGGGCGCCGAGCTGCTCCGCCTGCTGACCGCTGTGAACCGCAAGGTGGCCTACGAGTACCAGTCGAATACGAAGAACGAGGCCCTCAACCAGATGAAGGAAATGCCCAACTTCATGTCCACGCTGACGAAAACCTTCAATCTGCGTGTGAAGCCCAAGACCTGAAAACCCGACGAGGAATCAGCGCCAATCCATGGGGACTGGGACTGAGTGAGTCAGTGTCAGTCCGGGTCGAACGAGGGACACCGCAGCTCTTTCACTTAATCGTAATGTTTGCAATTTGTTGATAGAAATACATATCGAGGGCACTTATCTGAAATTGGCTTAATACCGGTGGGGACGCGATAGCGATTTCTAGGCTGGCCACGGAAGTGTGATAGATAGAAGCTCAGTTTCCCGGAAAATGTCGCGATTGCCGCATGTCTGTGGTCTGTGTTTGCTGCTGAGGATTTGGCAGCTTTTGGCCTTGGCCCCGTTCAGAATGAGTGGGCGAGTGGGTGCCAGGTGTCAGAGATGGGTGACCTTGAGTGCGGCCTTGCGGTGGGTTCTGCTAACCTCACTGGCCCCGGTTATTCTGTGGAAAACTGCCGCCATGTATGAGGCCACAAATGTCCGGCATTCGGCGATCTTCAAGATAATTGCAGTGGCCACAATGGTGGGCGATGTCTGCATTTCCCTGGCTCTTCTGGGCACCAACCTTTGGAACCGCAAGGAGTTGGCCAAGCTGGTGAGTGGCCTGGCCAGATTGCATCGCCGCCGGAGACTGAGTTGGTGGTCCACGTTGTTCCTGTGGCTCAAGTTGTTCCTATCCCTCTACCAACTCCTCTGCAATGTGCCCTTTCTCGAGGGAGCTGGAAGTCGTCTGCCGTGGTACCAACTTCTGGCCTATGGAGTCCAGCTCTATGTTGAACATGTGAGCAGTGTCTATGCGAATGGAATCTTCGGGGGTATGCTGCTCATCCTGGAGTGTTACAACCAGCTGGAAAGAGAGGAACCTCCTCCAGATCGTCTTTTGCAAAGGGAACGCAGCTGGCTGAAATTGGTCCAGAGATTTGTTGACGTCTTTCAGCTGGGCATCTTTCTCCTGGTTTTTGGTAGTTTCATCAACATTCTGGCCAACATGTACGCCTTCATGTCCTACTTTGTGTCGCTGCATGGGGTTCCCCTGACCATTTCCAATAACTGCCTTATTATGGCAGTCCAGCTTTACGCAATGATTTTAGCAGCTCACCTTTGCCAGGTTAGGTCGGCTCAATTGCGAAAAGTCTGCTTGAACTTGGAATATGTGCCCGCAGGACTGACTCTGGAAAAGGTAGGTTAATCGCACATCATTCTGGATTCAGGGGTAATTTCACTTTGATATCTTCCCAGGCCATGACGACTTCAACACCATTTCCTTTGGTCTCACCCACCGGCAGTGTCAAGTTTCGTATTATAGGTCTCTTCACCTTGGACAACTCGTTTTGGCTTTTCCTGGTCTCATATGCCATGAACTTTATTGTGGTTATCCTGCAGTTTAGCTTGGAGAATATGAAACAAGCTCAAACTTAAAACATGCAACTTAGTTACTTAAACCTATCTCAAATATTTAATTGACTTAAATGAAACTCAAATAGTTTTTGCAATCTATAAAATATTTTAATACAATTTCTTTACTCAAACATTACGAATAAGATTGATGATAATGATTGCTAACGATTATAAGGGATAAATGAGAGGTTCGATCCAAAAAACCTTTTACGACTATAGCGCTTAGAAATTACTTGATATGATTGGATTTCAATAAAATAAATCACCACCTTTATTTTCCGTTAAAAACAGTAATCAATTAATATTTATTTTTAAATTTTTAAACATTTTGGATTTTTTATTAGACGGGAAAACAAGGCGTTCGTCCAAAACTGCACAGTGTCGCCAAAAAGTCAGCTAGTTAAAACGCGTTGGTTTTTACAACTAACTTTCTTCGCTAGATGGCGCTGTTTTAGTTCCAAAAACTGACAACAATCGCCATCGTGGCCTAAATAATTTAACCGCGCTGTTCAAAATTTCATTTACAACAAAGCGGAAAGTATAGTAGTTAATTAGATCTTAGATCTATTTTTCCTGATTACTACAGGTAAAATAATGTATACGTAATCCCTATAGTAATGGTTATTGTCGCTCCTGGGAAGTATATCGTTTTTCTTATTTTATACTTAAAAACGATTTATATTGCCTCTAATAATGGAAGATAAATTAGTCAATAAATGTATATCCAGTGAGTATTTAATATATATAATATACATAAAGTTAGTTTTATGTATAATACATTTTTATTTACGAAACCAAAAACTTGAGAAAACCTTTTTCATTTTTATTGTCTTATTATTAAATTTATACAATTACATAGATCACATACAATGTCTTTTTTTTAACTATTGTTTAAAAGAAAATGAAATAACACATTGCAAAAAAACGACAAAACAATATAACATATATTAACATTTCTTTTGTTTTTTGACCATTAACATAATTTTTAGCCAAAACAAATATAAATCAGAGCGTCGATATGTAAATGAGGAGGTAAATTACACAATTTTTGAAGTTGCGTGTGAGTTGCGGCATTGTTGCTACCTCTCATTATTTTTAAATCAATCAATGTAAGTAGAGCAGATGGACTAAGTTAAGCCTGGGCTGTAATCTTGGTTTTATCATCAAAGATTGATAAACAAAAACTCCATTCAATACATATTTCTCGCTTTTGCCCGCGCAGCTCGATCGTTTTCGCGAATTTTTGATATGATTTTTGTGAAATGCTTTTGTCACTTGACTGGCCATTGCGTAAACTGGAAATGAAAGTGGCAGCCAGCAAATCCCAAAAACTAGTTGAAATAGATTTGCAGTCAAAAAAACACGAAATCGTTAAACTCTGCCACCAAACTGCAACATATGATGGCTATAATTGATCATTAATTGCTATGGCATATTTTTGACATAGGCCAAAAGACTGAAAGTTACATAAAGATTATATTGTAAGAAATGTGTTTAGAGGGAGAGAAGAAGGAATGTAGTAGGCAAATGTTCAATTTAATTAGTTATGTTTTGAAATCCCCTCAGCCCAACGATGCATACCCAATTTGTGGCTTGCCTCACTTCGAATCCAATGACTGATGTGTAATCTGATCTGGCAGCTGAGTTGTACGATTAGCATATCGACTTACCCACAGTCTTCCTGCTTTCACTTGCCGACTTCTCGACCAGCCCTCGCTGATTAGCATTGATTCTTCCAGCGAAGAGCAGTGGCTAACCACAAGCGCGCTCCGGCGTCAGGAGCATTCGCACGCGCCAATTTTCCAAGCCGCTGACTCGATCGGTTCGGCTCTTCAAGACGCCGCCGACTGCTATACACACACTGGGAAAAAAATTTAAATTATTTTGTAAAATGTTTCATTATTATCATTGCTTTATCATTTCTGAACATAAAACTTCTTTTAAAATGTTTAATGCAATTTTAAACATATAAATATGTACACTCACAAAACACCAATAAAAACATAAATAGTATCAAAAACACTAGACAATAAAAGTTAAAAAAAAATTGTAATCCAATTTTAAACATATAAATTCATACACACACAAAACACCAATAAAAACCTAAATAGTGTTAAAATACTAGATAATAAAAGTTAAGAAAAAAAATAGTTTTAAAAGAAAGAATATTAAAAATAAGTCAATGTTATATAATAGATTTCTATACAACATTACTTTTTTCTAAAAGTAGGCTTACACAAAATTGGTACCACAAAAACCACTAGAGATTTTAAATCATATAAAGAGCTTGTTAAAAAATAAGAAATTATTTAGGCATTTATTTATATAATATTATTTATTATTCGTTGTAATTTCGTAAGAATACCTTTTCTAGATATGTTAAATAACTCATAGAAAATTATGAAAGCTAATTATTATAGTTCTTGCAAATTATTTTCAAGCTTATTCTCGAAAGCAAAGCATTTTTCATACAATAATAAATATTAGCAGCCAATCAGCAATATTAGGCAATCACTTTGTTTTTTGCAGTGGATACCTTTGCGTAGGTTGTTGTGGGCTGTCGGTCAGTCGCAGCCAGTGCTTTTGCTCCGACTTCGTCTCCAGTCAGGTGTTATGTAAAAGCTATTAAACCGCATAATGCAAACGCTGCTCAGTCTTTTTCAGCCTCTGTCTTTCTTGGCTCTTTCTCCGCGGCGGTCTTGTTAGCATTTTCCACTGCCTATGGGAGCTCCCTTGGTTCTTTTCTTTTCATTTCATTTCATTTCATTTCATTTCAGCAGCAGGCTATCTACGACTTGGCCACAACCGAGAACCGTTAAGACGCCTTTATTGCAACTGCAGCGGTTCCCCACTCGATTCATATTGGATCCACTGGATTATCGCTATATTGTCTGGCCGTGTTTTGTCTGATTTTTGACTTGCTGACTCGGCTTTCCATTGCGGCATCTTCGTCGCCATCGCCATCGCCATTATCATCACATCAAGGGGCATCATCAGCAGCAAAAGTGCCTAGGGCTCCGGCCCCAGCGAACTGCATGTTTATGCTTATGTTAATCACTTTTGTTGTTTATACTTTTACGACTGGCTATTGCTCTGCCAGCGCTTTTGGGCCTTCCTTCCTTGTTTCTCGCTTTCTGGCTGGCTTTCATTCATCCACTGGGCCTGGCTTTTGTCTTTCTGCGAGCACGCAACGTACTAAAAAATAAATAATAGTAGCGCAACGGTTTCTGAGCCGTCTGAAAGTCTGTATAGCAAAGGATACGCAGTGCTCAGTGCTCAGTACTCAGCACCCCACTCCACTGGCAGCGCTTTTCCTCAGTCACTTGTCGTGGCTTTTCTTGTTTTCTTCTGTGTGTGAAAAACTAGTCTCATCGCAGTCGGCTCAGCCTGCAGTTGGGAAGATAGCTTCAGTTGGTCGCGAGGTGTTTGCGTTGTCGGTTGATTTGTTGGAAGCGCGATGCGAGCGTTTTGGATAGTGCTATAATATCAGAGGAAAAGTACAGTGAAAATCTCAAGATCCTGCCAGGATATGGCAGCCATGTGTTTTTGGGTTCTGCCCGTTGCTGTTTTTGGCCTAATCGTTATAGGCCAAGCTGCGAAAACGGGACAAGTGCAAGGCAAGTTGCAAGTGGCCGAAAGCCGAAAGCCGTTATAGCCTTTTAAGCTGGCGGGATCAGTTCATATATCTCTCGGCTAATGTGTGTGTCTCCATCTCAATCTCTCTAGCCGAGTGCTAATGTGTTGGTTCGCGTAAATCAAGTGCTGGACGCAGTTTGTCGCCTAAGTCTTTCGTTTTTTGCTGCCCCCTGCGTCTCGCATGCAACTCGTTTGGCTCGTTTCCAGACCGTTAAATAACCCAAATTTCAAATTTAAATGCTGGTGCGACAGCTTTTCCTCAGGGGCTGGCGAAAAATGTGCAAGGAAATCGATTTGTTTAGAGACCACTATCTAAATGCGGCAACCTGCCGATGTGTTTATGCAATGACTGACAGCTGACCCACTTAGTTGGCCTTACCCCACCCTCTCCACGGTCTGACCCATTTCGGTAACCTGCTCCTGCACCTTCCACCGCCCAAACTTGGTAATTCTGCCACCGCGACCGCCCCATCGTGAACTCGAAAACCCGACCTGGGAACCCAAGTGTCGCCGCCGTAGTGAGTGTGGCAATGTTCTAATTAAAACTTAATTTGTTTGTGTTACTTGGAATGACCGCCTGAGCTTAATGTTCTATATGATGGCTAAACCCGAAGCCAAGTATGAATGAGTTAATTGTTGCTAGACAACGTATTACCAACAAGTGCTAAAGCGTTCAGCCCGCATGTGAATGGTGCATATGAATTACAAATAATTTCTGTTTTATGAGAACAATGAGAATGACATTTATGTTGTGGGAAATGAGTTGAAGAACCGTTACGAAAAGTCTTCAATCTTGAAAGTGTTAAGTGCAATCGGAATAGAACTGCATAATTATTTGAATGTGGCCCCACAAAATGATTGGGAAACATTTGCACTAAAATAAATTTGGAATAGAATAGTGAAACCAACGAATGGATAAGAAAGAGGTGAAACTTCTTCAATATTTTATGGCTTTGCCTAAGAAAATCAATTTCGATTATCTAATGCCTACTAAATAAGTTGAATGTGTAGGTTTTTGACAATGGAATACAAATTAATAACGGAAGAAAACTATTTGGATTTAAGTGTTAAATTATTATTGTTTTCAATTCAGTGGTATCGAAGAAATAAATTGTATGCAACTTTAAAGCATTTAATATCCAACAAACAAAATAACAAAATACTTTTGTTGCTAATGCTTTTCCGTATAATTATTATGATATTCGTGAAGAGACATTTTTTTTATTTATCTAACGAATAATTTGATTTGGGAAAAAACTTACCTTAAACTTTACTTAAAAAGCAGAATAATTTTAAAATAACCATTTTTTGTTAATAAAAGAACGAAGTGAAACAGTCGTACACAGTAAACACATAAAACTTTAATCCATTTAGAAATATGGAATAATTATCTTCTTAGTGAACTCTCTAATTTACAAAATATTGTTTAAAATCTTGACACAAAATTGTTTTTTTAATTTGTTGTGACACAAATTTAGAAAGCATTAAAATCTTAAGCCATCTAAAAGTAAATAGTAATTGTCTTTATATCAAAGTCAATACCATGAAATCTGTAGGCATATAAAATAATTCTGCTGCATGAAACCCTTCAAAGTCAAAACTTCACACCGAAGTAAGCCAGAAACTGCAAGTAAATAATAGAAATTGCAACTCAAATTACAACTGCGGCAATAACAAGAAGCAGCAGCAGTCACTACAGCGAAAATGGAATTAAGCTAAGCCAGAAATAAAACAATAAACCAGCTATGCCTGCGATGACAAGGGGCCACAGACAAAGTCTCTGGCTGCAGAAGATACTTGACGATGGCCAAGATTTCACTGCATCTGCATCTGCATCTGAAAGCAACAATGATGATTTCCCGCTGCAGGAGATCTTCCGAAAAAAAAGAAAGAAAATGAAGCTCGGAGAAATGTCAGCGAGTCAGACGATGCGGTGTGTCTTCTTGTCTTGTTGTCTTCTTGTCACTCGGAACGCATTCGGCTGGGCTGGTTGCCTTTTGGGCCAAAAGCCAGTCGAGCCGTGGGCAAACAAAAAATGCTTAATTATGTCATGAGGGTGGGAACTGAGGCAGCAGAAAATAATTTGCAAAAGCTGATTGCAGCCAGGCCAGCAGCAACATGGGGCTGCAGATTGAGATTGAGAGAATCCGAGACAGGGAGACAGTTGAATGCATGTGGAAAAGTGTTGCAACTGCACATGAAAATCGCAGTCGAATGGGCCACGCGACAAACGTAGAAAGTTTTTGGTTAGTTGGCGCCAGTTCTGCCACGCCCCCTTGCCACCAAACAGCCCCTTCCCTCCCCTCGCATCCACCATCCATCCATTCCACAATTTACTCCGCACGTCGCAGCGCAGTGATTTTCCAATTGTCTGCGGCGCTTTTCCGTTTTCGGTTCTCAGAGTGCGCGAAAATTTGCATGCCCAAATAAACAACAACGACGACAATTTGTCAAAGTTTTACTTTTCTTCTACATGCCACATATATAGTAATCTGTAATCTCGTGCCCCACTTTCAGCCAGCTCCGGCAGCTGTGCGTTTCACACGCTCGATGGCGTCGCCGCGGAAAGCGAAGGTGTGCGCTTCATTCGGCTGCGCGAAGACGCCCAGGTGGGCAAGGAGATCCTCCGGCTGCAGGCCTATCCGCGGTCCACCGCGGCCCTGAAGGGCGCCGATGCCAGCGGAGACCACAAGTACTTCAACCTCACCGAGCACAATGCCACCACCCTGGTGGTCAGCCTGGCACGCTCCCTGGAACGCCTGGTGGACCGGGATGTGCCCAGGAATCTGCTCAAGTTCCGCATCCTGTGCGCGGGCAAGCAGGAGAAACTCGAGGAGGTGCGTTTCAGAATCTGTAACAATTATATTAAATATTTGTTGTATATTTTGTATACACATGATGTACATGTTTAAATCTGAAAATGTATGATATACATAATTCAAAAACTATACTAATATAATAACAATATTTATTGAAATAATAATAGCCAGCATTTCTATTTAAAGCCAATTTAAAAGAACAACTAAATTGATGATATCATTGCAAACAGAAGTTCAGTTTTTCAAACTCAATATTATTTGATTCGCTTTGATTTGGTATAAATTAAAATCACATTAATGAAATTCAAAAGAATTAGAATATACTTATGAGATTGTACTGTCAATGTATAATATAAGTATATTTACCTCAGAAATATAACATTTAATTTAGAATCCCAAAAATTCTTGAATATCAATTACTAGGTTTATAAAAACGCTTTATTTGCAAATAAAAAGGATTCGACAGGCAAATTTTTCTGTATAAACTAGATATAACAAAAAAGGAAGCAAACTTCGTCCAGACGAAGTTTATATACCCTTTCAATTATTAAAATCGACTGCATTTCGATTTGTATGCCTATATTACTAAAAACAATGAAATTATAATACCCTCAGCAAGGGTATAAAAAGCAAAGAGATAAAAAGCAGCGCAACCTTGTTCAAGAAATTGTATGGTTGTAATTTTTTACAGGCTTAAAAAATATTTGAGATATAATCCTTTAATAACGTAAATATAATAATATAATTAATTTACGAAATTCAAATAAATTATTATTATTTTATACATTTTACAATAAACACATAACATAAATGCTCTTCTGAAATTTCCAGGGTAGCTACCTGTCCATCACCGTGTACATTGAAGATGTGAACGACAATGCGCCGGAGTTTCTTAATGTTCCCTACATAGTCGATGTGGATGAGAACACCTCCGTTGAGAGCATAATCTTCGAGGGGGTTCAGGCATTCGATCGGGATAAGCCCAATACGCCGAACTCCGAGGTGCACTTCAGCATGTCCACGGTGCCAGAGCAACTCTCCGCGGACGGAAGTCCATACTTTGCCCTCAAAAGTCCGCATCGACCACTGCTCATTTTGAAGCGGGAACTGGACTTTGACAATGGCATCAGGCAATTTAAGCTGCCGATCTTCGCCTGGGATCGCGGCACTCCTGCGAACCAAGCAAACACCACAATCATTATCAATGTGAAGGATGTGGATGATCTCCCGCCGAAATTCACCGAGGGCGTGTATCGCACCAGGATGAATGAGTTTTACCCGATGACTGGGGTGCCCATAAGGATACCCCTCTACTTTGCCCCACCCATAATGGCCTTCGATCAGGACTCGCTGAACGCTTCGCTTGTGTATGACATCATTTCGGGCAACGAACGGCAGCTGTTTCGGGTTAATCCCCACAATGGAGTCATGTATCTGCAGAAGGAAATCGATCTGGAGGAGGAGAGTCTGCCGGGCAACACTTTTGTCCTTCAGTTGGAGGCACGCCAGAAGGATAATCCCCTCAAGAAAGCTTTAGCACGGTGAGTACACAAAATTAGAAAATTTCCTTAAATCACTTGCCGTTTCATCTTATATTATATCAACAGCATCGAAGTGGAGATTTTGGATCTAAATGACAATATTCCCGAGTTTGAGGCTGATTTCTATAACATTTCTATTGTGGAGAACCTTCCGACGGGTTTCAGTGTCCTACAGGTCAATGCAGTTGATCGTGATCAGGGTGAAAACTCCGAGTTCCTTTACAATCTGGTGGAGACCAAGGATGCTGCTGGTGCTTTTCGCATTGATTCCCGAACTGGTTGGATAACTGTGCGGGATGATCGCTTACTAGATCGCGAACAGCGTAGGTCCATCCAATTAAATGTGGAGGCCCTGGAACGGAATCCATCGTATCTGGATGACAAGCATTTGAAGAAGCCAGGACCCAGCAAAGTTCAAGTGGAGATCACGCTGCTGGACACGAACGACAATACGCCAAAGTTCGAGCACGGAAATCTGTACGAATTCAAGGTGCCCATCAATGCTCCCACGGGCTATGTGATAGGTCAGGTGGCTGCCCATGATCCAGATGAGGGTCCCAATGGTCGATTGCTATACGAACTGCAGCGGCCAAAAGGCAGTGGTTATATACCTTTCCGACTGGATAACAAGAATGGCACTATTTACGTGGGTGGACCACTTCGAAGGGGACGCATCGCTGTCTTCGTGGAGGCCAGTGATCAACCCACTAATCCCTCAGAGCGGCGATTCTCCTTGGCAGTGATCACCATTGAGGTGTATGCCACCATAGATGACCAGGCTATAGATTTTGTGGGTGCTCCTTACGAGTTTTGGGTGGGGGCGAATACGCCGTTGGGAACCTCGGTGGGTCAAGTACGCACCACTCTGATCTACGACGGAGAGGATGAGATAATGTACGATCTCCTGCACACTTATTCGGAGGGTGTGCCCTTCGCCATCGAAGAGCGATCGGGCATTATCACAGTCATTCGGGAGCTATCGGAGTTTAAGCGAAAAGTCTACCAGTTTGAAGCGGTGGCCAATTATGTAAGTACACCTTATGTCAAACTTTGCTTTCGGTAAGTTCCCATAATTGTGTTGACATTCCCCAGCTCTTTGCCAACTCTTCGCAATCACTGGTCATGTCGCGAAGTTCATCTCCATTGACCACAATAGCCTCGCCGGGTGAACTCAGCGATGAAGGGGTACTCATCACCAATCTCACCATCCATATTGTCAACAAACCAGAGCAAAAGGTGCCTCTAAGACCTGTCATAGAGTAAGTATCGTTTTCACTTTCTAAAACTCATTTACCAAATTGGATTAATGGCTTCAAAAGGTTTAATGTACGTTGACAAAAATTAAGTACATATAGTTTCCCCATCAACAAATAAAATCCAAATATAATCTAAAATATGTTATAATTGGGCTTCTATTTAAAACCATTTGAGAACCTATCCCTATAACCTATTTTTTAACTAATTAAGTGTGCAGATGTTCCTTAATATATGATTAAAAACTTCGTATATTAATTTCAGGGAGATCAACATGAACGTGATAAACTTCCATGTGGAGGAGAACGTCGTGGGTGGCATTATTGGACAGTTACTGTACAAGAATGGCGTCAATCTGGTGAACAACGAGCTGGGAACATTCCGTGAAATGCCGACGGAGGCAACTGGACGTAATCTCACCATGGGCAGTAGGTTCCGCAGTCGAAATCGGAGTCGCAGCTCCAAGTCGAAGCGCCGATTGCCGAGACGATTGGTGGGGGATACGAATCTGAAACTCCGGTATATCATCGCCAACCAGCAGGAGGTAGTGAACAAGATCTCCATAACGGAGGACGGAACTCTGCTCACCTTGATTGGCCTGGATCGTGAGCAGCAGCCCAGCTACGAGCTAACTGTGATAGTTGAGTACAGCACTGGATTGGTGAGTGGAGCTGGGATTTACCAGGTCAATATCAAGGTGGACGATGTCAACGACAATGCTCCTAAGTTCAATGCGCTCACTTATGTGGGCCTGATCAACGAAAACTGCGCCGCGGGAACGGAGCTATCGATGAACAACGCGATTCTAATCCAGGATGCGGATGAGGGACCCAATGCAGAGTTCAGAGTGCAACTGCAAGGGGATTATAGCGAGGAGTTCAGCATAGAGTACGTGAATGGTAGCTCCAAGGGAAATACCACTCAACATAAAATGCCACCCACAACAGGAGCGTTTAATATTTTTAACCTAACGGATCAGTGGAACGATGAGTTCAAGTACCAGGAGCTGCACACCACCTTTATGCAGACTAACTTTAAGCTCAGTTCGGGTCCCTATTTCCGCATTTCCTATACAGGAAAAAGAGGCTTGGATCGTGAGAAGCAGCAGTTGTACAACCTGAAGATCATAGCCGCCGATACTGGAGGTCTCTCCGGATACGCCCATCTCACAGTTCTCGTGGCAGATGTTAATGACAATGCTCCAATGTTTGAGCGCATCTCTGTGTTCAAGGACTCGCGCTTGGAGATCCGTGAGTACACCACGGATATGGAGATTTACTTTGTAGAGAGCTCGAGTGGTTTGGCGGCACCTCAGGCAACGGCGGCCATGATGCTGGCACCACCGCCGTATCACATTCCAGGATCACCCAGGCTTCATGTGGATCGGGAGAGATCCGTGGGAGTGGGTGCAGGATTGGGCGTGGTAGCCAGAGCCAAGTCGCGTCGTAGGATGATCCGTGCCGTGTCCATTAAGTGCCCTTTATTTGCCATCTACGAGGACACCCCGGTGGGTACAAAAGTCCTTCAGCTGAGTGCCAGTGATGAGGACTACGGAAAGAATGCCCAACTTCACTATGAACTCCGGGGAGAGCAGGTGGAACGGACACTCGGAATGCCCTTGTTGCGGGTTCAGGGAGTGCGGTACTTCACCATCGACAAACTCAGTGGTGAGCTATCGGTCAATTATCCTCTGTCGGCCAACATCGAGATATGGTTGAATCTGACAGTGACAGATATCGATGGTCTAAAGGACTCGACCTGCCTGCGATTCACCGTGATGGATGTGAACAATCATGCGCCGACATTTAAGAAGTCCTGGTACAGCTTCGATACCCCCGAAGGGGAGTACAAAGATAGTGTCCTGGGTCAACTGACAGCCATAGACATGGACTTTGGCGAGAATGCCAACATCACGTATACGCTCAATGACTTGCAGCTGCCGTTTACCATTAAACCAGCCTCTGGGGTTCTGAAGATCAGCGGGCAGCTCGATCGTGAGGTTAAGGACAAGTACAGCTTTCAGGTGATAGCCACGGATAATGCCCCTCTAATGCAGCGAATGTCCAGCAGCGTGGATGTGGAAGTAAATGTCCTGGACATCAACGACAATCATCCTGAGTTTATTGGCTACGATGATCAAACCAAGGCAGTCAAGTTTATACCGAATGTGGCGGATCGCACGATGATGTTGCCGGTGTATAAAGCATATCTGGATCGCAGCACCCAACCGGGCACTTTTGTTAGACAACTCACGGCCATAGACAAAGACAATGTGGGCAATGGCAATGGTCTGGTGTTGTACTCAATTCGCCATCAGGAAATGCAGGCACCACTCTTCCAAATCGACTCCAGGGACGGCACCATCTCTACAATATCCCGCATCAATGGCTACAATGATTACGAACATCTGAATGTATCTGTGATAGCCTCGGATGTGGGCAGTCCCACTCTATCCGCCACAGCTGTAGTGATCGTTAACCTCCAGGGACAGGCAGTTACGGATCCTCCGAAATCCACCCCCAAGCCAGAACCTCCAGCGAATGTAACCGTATTCCAGCACGCCTACTATGAAGTTAAGCTCACTGAAAACAATGAGGCACCCATTGAGGTGATGCGCTTGAATCTTAGCGCTGGCCTCAATCCCGAAAACTATAGGTGGTCCCTGTGGTTGGAGGAGGGTCTGGATGAAACGGACGCTCATCCGCCCTTCGAATATGATGCCAAAAATATGCTGTTGTATGCCCTGAAACCCTTCGATAGGGAGCACATATCCCGCTATCAATTAAGGATTCGAGCAGATCGGTTGAGTCGGGAAGCTAGAAACTATGCCCGGGTCTCATATCCAGTGGTGGACGAACGAATAGAGGGCCTCTCGCTCAACGAGTGTCGTATCCTGGTCCACATTGCGGATGAAAATGACAATGCACCCAAGTTCCGCGGAAATGGACAACCGATCGTGGCGGTTTTGCCGCAGAGTGCCAGCTTTGGATACCCCGTAACCCGAGTGGTGGCCAACGATTTGGACGAGGGACTGAACGCGGAGATACGCTACCGTCTGCTGAACGAGCCCACCCGACTATTTGGCATCGATGAGTTGTCGGGTAACATTCGCCTGCTGGGGGATCTGTCCCACGACGAACGCATCTACGGATTCGATGTGAAGGCCACGGATCGAATGGGTGCCGATGACGGACGAAGTGGCATCGTCAACGTGTTCGTCTACATCATCGATGAGGCCAAGCAGGTGCGTCTGGTGGTGGCTGGAATGCCAGTGGAGGTGGAACGCCGGATTGAAGGACTAATGGAGGCGCTCAGCGATGCCATCGGCAAGGATGTGCGTGTCCGGTTGCTGGAGCCATACTCGGGAGGACTAGAGGCAGCGTAAGTTCGATTATATATTACTTTTTAATAATCTATTATTTTAAGCTTATATTAAGTATCAGTTTTAATAAAAATCAGCTTAAATTAATATTTATAAAAATTTTTTGTTTGTTGGCGACCTTTGATGTATGTTTAATTTTTTGAGTTTTTCCGGCTCGAGGTCAACAATTGAAAAATGTTTTAAATAAAAGTTTTTAAATTTTATTTTTTATTTTTTCCAATATATTTCGGTTGCACTTCGGCAACCGTCTTCAGGGCAAATAATTTTACACGTCTGCACCGTCGGACGGAGTCGGAGATTAATCTCCACGTCCGACGGTGCAGACGTGTAAAATTATTTGCTCTGAAGATGGTTGCTGAAGTGCAACCGAAATATATTGGAAAAACATTTTTTAATTGTTGACCTCGAGCCGAAAAAAAAAAAAAAAAAATAAAAATTTAAAATAAATATTAAAAACAATTCTGTATTTTTGTACACAGGGTTCATAGCTAGAATCAATAACTTTCTTTTTCTGAAAATGGTCACAATTCGAGCTTTTTTTAATCGAAGACCAATTAAAATTAACTTTCATAGGAATATAGAAAAGTAACTTATTTTAATATAAATCGCAATCGCAGTCTTGATAATTGAAAAATAGAGATAAGTAAGACAATAACATTTTATACAATTAATTTTATAATATTATTTTATATCATAATATTATGAATGATTTATCCTATAAAATTTAAAAAAATTCGACATGCTAATGCTGTTAAGAATAAATTCTTCACTTAGGATCCCAAGCTGTTACATAAATTTGAATAAAATGTGCAGTTTGACCGCATTACATAACATAATTGGCCATTAGTTGCAATCAAAACACAGCAGATCCACCTAACAGGTTCTTCTCTACTCTCCATTTACAGCACCAATGCCTATGTCTATGCCGTCGATCCGCACACGAATTCCATTATGGAAATGGAGCAACTGCAGGAGTAAGTGTTGCATCTTCCCCGCCGACTCCCTTCCTTCCACCATCCCCACCGAAATCAATTGACCCAGAATTGTCATGCGAATTAATGGTCTTCAATGCCTTCCTCTTCTTCTCCAGCTCCCTGGCCGGCCTCCAACTGGATGCACTGCAGCTGCAGCAGCAGAAGCTCGACGGCGGGAAGCCAATGCCTCGCATTATCGAGCTGGCCGAGTTCGGACAAGCGGCCCGACCCACCCACGCCTCCGCATCCAGTTTCATGGGAGGATTGGAGTTTGTGACGGTGGTCCTACTGGCGCTGATCAGCCTGGGGGCACTGATGGCCGCCTGTTGCTACCTGTGCATGCGACAAAAACGGTATGAATGAGGTGCACAAGTGGCGAGTGCAAGTGCAACTGCAACCGAAAGACTGCTTACTGGGCGCTCTAATGTAGCTCATAGATGCATTTCATGTTAGCCATAGTGTTAGCTTAAGCTGAAGGCCCCATAATAAATCTTAAGTCAATTGCAATTGTTGTTGTTGCTGCTGCTGCTGCTGCTGTCGTCGGTATATTGTTGCTGTTGCTAATGGCCATGGCCGTGGTTGATGTATCCAAGCCTCTGAATAAACCGGCTGGCATTGGGCCTCTCCTGTCCGATTAAATTATAACGGTAAATAGCAACAAACACAACATCAGATGTAGCAATGCGGCAACTGCAACATCAGGCAATTAGACGAAGATCTGGTGACATCTGTGCAACAGCATCCCAAATGGGAATGCCAATCAAATCGCCTTTCATCTCATCAGCCCAGCTCATCCTGCACAGAGAAAATTTGTGTGGTTTCACTTATATGATATTTTCTCCAAATCAGCACTCAGAAATAAATGGACATGAAATAAACATTTTTTGTTCTATAATTTTAAGAAGAAGATGGTGTTAAGCACACATATTTTCGACATTCGTAAAAAAAAACATACATGCCACCCATAATAATTATCACGGACATATAAAATGTCAAAATGTATAAAACAAATATTAAATTCACAAATCTAAAAACTTTTAATAGGTTCTCTTTATGGGCACCTATGTTTTAAGTCATTAATTTCTAATCTTGTTATTTAAGTTATCCAAATCAATTAAATTTTTTAATGTTTTTTTCCATGTCCGATTGCAGTCGTCTCTGGTCTCAGCGTGATTTTTCCGCCTCGGATGGCGGTGTCACCTATACCATCGCGGGGATCGGGTCCGCTCGTGGTCAGAAGCAGCGCCGCCATCGGCAGCAGCGGCACACACAGCGCTGCAGCAAGGGCAGCAGCAACGGCAGCCAGCGACCCACCAGCGCCTTCATGCCCGAGTCCGTCTGCTCCTCGGCCCAGACCCAGTCGACGGCCACCGCCACCGAGAAACTGGAGCAGCAGTTGCACCAGCACCACCAGCAACAGGCGATGGCCACGCAACAGCAACACCACCAGTACCTGAACGAGTGAGTGAATGGCCGGGTCTGGCTAAACGTGTTTCCATTCTGGACTGTATCCAACTGACCATCTAACCATCTAACCATCCTCGACCAGGCAACAGCAGCGCCAGCAGCAGCGCGAATATATAGACGTACCTCTTCCCAAGTCCATTGCCAAGGCAGCGGCGGCGGCGGCGAATGGGGGCGATGGAAATGGAAATGTGGGCGGCGGCAGCACTCCATTCGTGCTCAAGTACAATGCCTGTCAGCCAGTGAACAATCTGTAAGTGCAACTAACTTATAAATTATTAAACTGCATTTCTTTAACTAAGTCAAAATTGTATTTAAAACACGCTATTTATCTTCAAAAATATTTAAATATTCTGCCGCACTTAAAATGTAGACTTAGATGGAAAGAGTTTTAACTATTAAACATTATACTTGTGGAATATTTTTGGAAAAAAAGTTGCATAACAATTTTGAAATATTAAAAATAGTTACTTAAAAGTTTTATTTTGAAACAATAACGAAGAAGTCTTTAAGGTAAAACAAGAATTTCCAGCACTTCGACTGAAATTTTGGGTTTTATGTGAAATAAACTTGTTGAAAACCATACAAATATTATATTAAGTTTAAATTTCAAATATTTAGATGGGTTTCTTATGCGGCATTTTATTCACTTATAATTTTGTTTAAATAATTGTTACCAATCCAAACATTGAATTTAAAAATTAAGAAAAACATGTGAAAATACATTTATATATATACATATATGGTTAATGTTTGTTGCAATGTGCCCTTTAAAAACTTAACGTGTTATCTTTCTAATATTTTCTAAACAGTAATAACTATGAAACCTCGCTGTTCTCGCTGCACTCGACGGGTCAGGACTCGGGGGTGGAGTTCCTGAGCAGTCGGGAGCTGTACGAGACCTCGCCGGACTCCTTCCAGCTCGGTGGCTCCAAGCGCAGCAACAATCCGGAAGTACTCTGCCCCAGACATGCCAAGGCTCACTTGGAGCTGCGCCAGCCTCATCCAAATACAGACAGTAGGTGAGTAACTCCTCGCTTTAAGTTTTTAAATATTGAATGATAATCACTTTTCACCTCTTCTACCAGCGACACCTACGAGGACTCGCTCAAGACCGATGAGCCACTGGTGGCTCACAACTGCCGCAGCGCAAACTGCGAGCACCGCCAGCATCAGCTCCACCCCAACCACCACCCCCACTACCAGAACACGCGGTTCGAGAAGCGCTCCTGCGTGCGGCACTCCTTCTCCGGGGTCAAGGACGACCTCATGCAGCACTCGCCCCAGATCTCGCTGCGCCCCCGGGGCCACGCCCTCCGGAACTCGATGAACGACCTGGAGCAACGGTTGCACAACCTGGAGCAGTCCTTTCGTCGCCCTCTCGAATTTAGCAAATCGAATTCTTTGTTTTAGTTTTTTTAGCTAGACAGAAACGCAGTGCAATTTTTAGTTTAGTCAGCTTAGCTTAGATCTTAGATAATAAGAAACAAGTGCAATAAATCGAAGAGTTTTTAAAGATCAAATGTTAAGGACTTTTTTTTTACTTTTTTTGTTTCAAATTTTCGAGTAATAATTAAATCGAAATTGACGAGCATCCCCATTTGTTGGTTTTGCCCGTCGAAGCGCAAAAGTTGTTTGTTTTTTTCTTTTTAAATTTTTCACTTTTCCCAATAAATGTAAACATATAGCTTTTTGAAAAAAGTCTTATTCTGTGTTTTTCCAATAAATTGCCGAATTCGACCAAATTATCTGTAACCGGGACCCAAAACTACACCCTTAATTATTTAAAATTAAAAAAGGCATTTGGGGAAAAACGGATAAAGGAACTAAGGGATTAGGAATTAAGGAACCAAATAAAATAACTATTTAAATCATAAGACTTTAAAACGTATGAACCGTGTAATCCGCCTATAAATCACTTTCACGAATCCCCCTACTTTGTTTTTATGGATTTCCCAAAAACATTTGGTATTGTTTAAAAGGTCTAGCTGCGGTCACACTGGCCGGGATGCATAAAAATAAAAACTAGCGTTCCATTTATTTTTCCATTGGACTTAGCGCTGCCCCAAATCCATTTCCTCTTGTCAAACCCGCAGATCCGAACACCCAGGTGGGGCGACTTCTGAAAACAGCTCGACCGCAGGTGGATGTGAGCGAAACGACGGGGAAGAGCCGAAAAGTCCAAAGGATACGATCGCAAACCACTTGCCAAACTGCAGATTCCGAACACATCGGAGGAGGAGCCGCCATGAATGCCCTGCGGCAGTTCTACCTGGAGATCCCAGTGGTCACACGGGCCTACACCACGGTCTGCGTGCTGACCACTCTGGCAGTGGTAAGTGTCCGACCCGGATCGGGTTCTTTATCGAGGGTGACGTGTACGTGTGTAATCGGCGACCTTTGCCAACTTTTCAGCACCTGGACCTGGTATCGCCACTACAGCTCTACTTCAATCCCACGCTGATCGTGCGCAAGTTCCAGATCTGGCGCCTGGCCACCACATTCCTGTACTTCGGCACAATAGGCATTAGCTTTTTCTTCAATATGGTCTTCACCTACCGCTATTGTCGCATGCTTGAGGACGGATCTTTCCGCGGACGCAGCTCGGACTTTGTCATGATGTTCATTTTTGGCGGCGTGTTGATGACCTTCTTCGGTATCTTCGTCAATCTGCTGTTCCTGGGACAGGCCTTCACATTGATGCTGGTCTACGTGTGGTCCCGTCGCAACCCGTTGGTGCCAATGAACTTCTTCGGCGTGCTCAACTTCCAGGCACCCTACCTGCCGTGGGTGCTCCTCTGCTGCTCCATGATCCTGGGCAACACCGTGTGGGTGGACGTCATCGGCATGGGCGTTGGCCATATCTACTACGTGCTGGAGGATGTATTTCCCACCCTTTCCAACGGCTATAGACTGATCAAAACCCCCTACTTTCTGTAAGCTCACCTCGCAATCTAGTTGTACATGTACAATAACAACTTTTTGTCCTCAGGAAACGCCTCTTTAATGAGCACATCGAGCGCAACTACCAGGCGGCCGCCGAGGACCGTCCTGGCGGTTTCCCTGGGGCGGCGAAGGTCAGCCGCTGCTGCCGGATCAGAACGATGGCGACGGACAGGAACGGGAACGGGCGGATCCAGCGGCGCCCGCTGCTGCGGCGCCGCAATAACAAAACTAGAAAACTTGATTGTTAAAACGTCTTTCTGTTCAAAACGACGACGATGACAACAACTATGTTGTGTACCCCTCCGCCACCTTCCGTTCGGTGCTTGGTGTAATTAGGCGTATAGTATTGAGAGAGAGGTGTGCAATAGTTAGCCAAAGTTGGTGCAGAGCGTGTGTGTATATCATCCATTGGTTTGTTTTCTGATGCAGAGCCCAATTTCCACGCCTTATGTTCTTTAAATTTAAATTTACCCCAAGGGATGCATCCACGACAGATTGAACCTACACTGCACATGTGATTATATATATACAAACATGCTACAAATAAACCATGATGTATAAAGCTCTATTGGGAGTTTTTAAAACCTTGACGTCGCTTTGGGTATTGATGGCGTACACATGTGTCTCACTTTATAAATGAACTGGCTTTGCGCTTGTAAGCCAGTTCGTTCTTAAGAATTTAAAACATTTTTTTAAATCACTCTCATCATTGATATAAGCTGACTTTAATTCGTTTTCAAAACATTTGTGTGCACAAGTCAAATTCAAATGCGCGCCCAACCTGCTTGCGTTGCCAACTGTCATATTTTAATAAACCAGTGTTGCCTTATGCTGTTTTCAATCTGGCCTTTGCCAACATTGGTCATCGCACTACAATTATTCGTTGTTATTTTTCGTTCATATTTAATTTTTAGCCGGCTAGGACTGAATAGTATTATAATGTTGTATAGAAAATAGACTCAGGATGTCGAGAATTGTGATGAACCAACTGACCCACCCGCAGCGAGTTCGCCTGCTGTACAAAACCATTCTGCGACTTCACAGAGGTGAGACTACTTTCTCAAAAATAGCTCCAATTCACTTGGTTTGTTGTATTCTAAAGGACTTCCCGCGGAACTCCGTGCTCTAGGCGACAACTATGTGCGGGACGAGTTCCGGCGGCACCTCACCTGCAATCCCATGGAGGCACAGCTCTTTATGACAGAGTGGGCCGTGAGTTTTACGTAATTAAAATAGGTGCTCTTCTAAAGAATTGTTATACTGCAGCGATATGCCTCCACGATCACCCAGCAACTAGGCATTCGAGGCAAGCCAAAGGGGGAGCTGGGCGAGCAGATCGATCCAGACGCCGTGGACATGCTTAAGGACGACCAGGTGGTCCAACTGTACGAGCTCATGCTGGCGGCCAAAGGCTTAGGTGATGATACAAGCACGGTGAACGACATAAGAGGCAAATAAATTAGAGAATTCCTTTATTACGACTGTTTCTCCAAGACCTTGTACTCAAACTTGATGTTATTCTCCTCCTGAACGCCCAGTGGCATGTCAGAGTCTGGAGCCACCTCTTTAAAGCTGTCGGGGATCGCTGGAAAAAAGGTATCGCACTCGAACTGTTGCTGGATTTTAGTAATATACAGCTTGTGACATCTTGGTGAAGCCATGGCCTCCGCATACACCCCACTTCCGCCCACGATCCAAATGTTCTCCACTTCGCCCTTAGCCTCCAGGAGCTTCATAGCCTCCTCTAGACTGGAACATAGGAGGACTCCGTCGGGCAGATCCTCCTTCTGGAGCGTGCTGCTCAGCACTATGTTTAGACGATCGGGTAGAGGTCTCTTGCTTTCCGGCACACCGAAATACGTTTTTCTGCCCATCACGACGGCATTATGCTTGGTGGGATCACTTGTCCGCTTGGTGGTGCGACTAAAATACTTCAGCTCTGATCTGTGGGAGTGGACTGTTTATAATTCAAAGATGTTAATTAGCACCTACTCACTTGATGCGCCATGGCAGATCCCCCTTAATGCCGATGCCGAAATTCTCGCAAACTGCCACGATTAAATTGAAAAGCAGCATCTTCCTTCGGATAAACTTAAAATTCAGTTTGGGAGCCGATCTTGATCAGCTGATTGAGTCTGCGCGGCAACCGATTTCGATTACAAATAATCGATATTTAAAAGAGACATTCGCGTGAAGTTTCAAATAACGGACACTAAGTCAGTTTCGCCCCGACCTCCCTTTCAAAATCAAAAATAATAGAAGTTGGAATTCTGGGTATTTATTTATTGTTAGCTTTTTCACATTTATTTTACAATTGCTTGGAAAAGCGTTTGCCAACATTTGGTCAAGGCTCGGTTTAAATTTAAGCTTTAAACAAAGCTATTCAGAACAGAAGTTTTCAAAAGTATTTTTTTCATAGTTCCAATAATTTTTACTTGAAGATTATACCCTATAGCCGTTTTATGACTTTAACAATTGATTTGTGGATGTTAGTACTTCTGGTGTATACCGATTTCGGTAGATTACTTGCAAATGATCGGTTTATCCTTGATCCTTTTAAAAGTATGTGTATTATATTCTTATACATTATTAAAGTGTTCCCGCTGCTTTATGCAGTATGTATTATATTAAACTACAAATATTGTGAACTCCGGAATATTATTCCGGTCCCTCCAGTAGCCAGTAGGTCTCCATCTCGCCCTTTCCCTTGACCTTGACGAACCCCCTCGCTTCCACCTTGTAACCGACCTTCCGCACCTTAAGGGCAGTATAGTTGGATAGCTGGATCATCCAGGGATCGCTGCTGCTCTCCATCCGTGAGGCGGTGTTAACGGTATCCCCAAAGAGGCAGTATCGCGGAACCTTCATTCCAACCACTCCGGCTACTACGGGTCCTGAGTTAATGCCCACCCGAATGGCTACTCCGGGAAGAGCGTGTGCCTTGACTTTCTTCATCACCCTCAAGGCCAGATCACAGGCGTGCTCCGCATGGAGGGGATTTATATCAGGAGCACCAGAGACTGCCATGTAAACCATACCCACGGTCTCCACTTTGTATACAAAAGGCGAAATGATTTCCTCGTCCAGTGCCGAAAATACTTTGTTCAAGGTGGTCACCGCCTGCATGGCATCCTGAATATTGTTGGACCCACTGTCATAGACATTCAGCACCTCGATAAAGATGACCGACACCTCTTCAAAGCTCTGGCACACGTGCTCCTCGCTCTTTCTCATTCTTTCGGCAATGGGTCGTGGGATCATGGAGTAGAGGAGTTCATCCCCTTGCCGTTTCCAGGAATCAGCCAGCTCTAAGGACTTTTCCAGTTCATCCGATCGCTGCTCTTCCTTTTCAAACATGATCTCCAGCTTCGAGCAGTGCTGCCATCCGGCCATCACCAACTCTCGACTCAAACCGTGAGGATTGAGATCGTTCAGGTACAGACCAATCCCGTGCAGCTCATCAAGATTCTCGATCAGTGGACTACAGAGAAAGATTAGCGAGTCCACATCCTTGATGTAGAACATCTGACCCTTCAGCAGGATGGATCGAAGACCCACCGAGTGCCGACGCTGACCCGTGGCTGGATCGATTTCGTCCTTGGAGGTGGTGAGGGCAGATGCCTCTTCCTTGGCGTGCTCCACACTGAACTCCTTCGCACTGGCCAGGGCCATAGCCTGAGCCTCGTTCAGACTGCTGGCTTCGTCGAATGTGTCGAAGTCAAAGTTCAATGCCGCATCGTAGGCGGCACGGTTGTGACCCGTGCGGATGAGCTCGAACTCGAAGAGCACCGTCCTCATCTGCAGAATGGTCTCCCATTCGACCTGAGTGTCCTTGGGCCGCCGGCACTTGAACCGATCCATAATATGGCTGCCAATGAAGCTCTTTGGGTTTACGCCTGGGTTATGAAGGATCCACGTCTCTACAATCTTCTCGCCCGCGAGAGTTATTTTCATGTCGTGATCCAGCACAATGGTGAAGGGGAACAGCTCCAGAAACACGTTCAGGTCCACTGAAGGCATCTTGAGCTGAGACGGATGAGCGATGACGTTCACCCGCTTGGCCATGTAGTCACGGTTGTCAAAGTCGAGTCGGTACTTAACTATCACGGTCAAAGGACCATCCGTAAGCTTAATAGGTCCCGCCGTGCCCCCGCAGATGTCGTTCTGGCTTTCCAGAACGTAGGCCGTCATGTCCAGGCCGTAAAACTCCTTGGCGACCTCCGTCATCTGGCCGATCAGGTACTTGGACATGCCAGTTCGTCCACTGCGATAAAGGATCACGGCCCCGTCGTCGTCCATGTTAGTCAGCTGCATACTGGGCGACTTCATCTTGGGATAGGTGAAGCGCATCTGCACGTGGATGTTGTCGATGGACTGCAGGAAATCGCAGAAATAGCGTCCTGTGGATCGGATCATCTTGTCGTAGCCGAAGTTACTGAAGAAGCGGACGAAACAGCGCCCAAAGAAGTTCATGCAGAAGTCAAAGGACTCGCCCGTGCTGGCGGATAAGGCCGCTGCAAAGTCCGGCATGAGCTTGTCCGGGTAGATCTGGTGCGTCTTGAAGCTCTGGTGTTTGCAGTCGACTATCTGGCAGACCTTCCTCCAGGTCTCCATGCCGTACTCCTGCTGAATGTAGTGCTGCACGCTCTCGTACAGCATTCCGTACATGGTGGCTGTGGGTTCGGGTGTCTTTTTGGTCCTTTTGGGTCCTGTCTATCGTCCAAATTGCTTTCGCAAAAGTTTTTCTGTAACGACGAACAGTTAGAGGGCACATAATCAGGGTGAGGCTAAACAAACTTTTTCCATCGCTCACAACTGGTAATTAGGTAAACTGTGTTCGTACCCCGGAGGATTTAAGTCAATTTCGTTGTGTTGGGTCAGGGATTAGCCCATATATAAATCAAGTGATTGATGGTAGCCAAGAAGGTTACTGACTAGGGTCCTGCACAAATGAACTTGTTAGTAAGAACTTGGGAATTGATGATTACTCAATTAAAAATTTATTAGGCGCGGAAATTTTAATCGTTTGCGAATATACAACTCTTAATTTAAAAATAATAATAAATAATTTTTATTCTTCTTACTGCGATTTTTCTCTTTTTTTCCCTTTGAGGAATAAACTCGAAATAACTGACTTAAATTTTAATTATTTGTTAAAAGTAAATAAAACGCGATTACATATGCCAGTTACATTGAGAGATTTTCTCTTATCTAGCCTTCAACAACACTCAAGGAAAGACTGTTTTTTTCTCCTTGGCATTTGATTTATTGCCCCGACAGTTTAATTTGAGTTCATGTGGCAGACCCACGCAGGGAGTCTTAAGCTTGTCACGTTCTCGGCGGAAGGAACATAGCTCATTGTACTCTTGACTTATTTCCGTTTGCTGTTGGCGGTAATTCGCTGGTGGCAGTGCCTGCTTTTCAATTTTTCCCACAAACGTTAACTAACTAAGCCATAAATTCTCAAACATCTTTCAGGAGTTTGTGTATATTTAATTTCGACCAAAAACATGCAAATTTCTGTCAAAACCCAAGGTCGTAAAAGAGGATATAATGCTGTTGTTTGTATGCCTAGAATAAAATGATTACGTTTGATTAATGTTCAGTGAATGTGAACTGTCAAATAAAATATAAAAGGCAAGTACTCGGTTTCTTTTCCCATTTATCAATGATAATATAGATTTAATCGCTCATAATTTATGTTTGCCAAAAAGAGTATACTGCAATTTACACAATTTATTTTAAAATAGATTTTATGCCAACAGTTAAATGGTTTATTCATTAAAGTATGATCAAATCATAAAGAAGGCAGAATACATACGAATCAATAATTCATTTATTTATATTTTACTACTTATTGTGTTACCAAATGTGTCATAATCCTTTGACGATTTACCCTTTTTTTTAATTTCCAAGACTCCAAATATCTTTGATTAGCAGACCGTGAAATTAGCTTATAATATCGTAACCCGCTTACTTTTTTTTGCTTTCCGCCTCGTTCCAATCCACTAACTTAATCGCCTCAAGTTCTCCAGCATTGAATCGTGCTGGTGTGCACCTCTTAAAGAGTTTTAATTTTATCCACGCGGCATTTGCTTCTCGCTTATTTATAATTTAAGGAAGGCATACGCTTACACACACAGCTTCCCCGGATGCGTAAACTCGGTGTATATATACGCGTACACTTTTCGGGAGCTCTCACTTTTCCGGACTCTGTGTTGCGTCGTCGGCAGTTGCTATTGTTACACTAAATTTGTTTTGCCGCCTGTCGCTGCTTCCTTGGCTTCTGGCTGTCTGATTTGTTTCATGATTTCCTCTGACGAGCTTCGTGAGTCTGTCGGTTCCGTCGGTTCCGTCGGGCGGAGCTTTCCCTTTTAGCCGGGCCGATGTTGGTCGAATGAAGCGAGCCTCTTTTGCGGCCGGGCCTTTTATAGCCCACCCACTGCCAAGTTGCAGTTGGAGCAATACTTTCGGCCCACTTAGGACCTACGTGCCTGCGCCTCGACACGCACTTCTCTGTTTGACCATCGTGATCATCATCATCATTATTACCAGGAACAGTCGCCAGTCAATGCTCTTTGCCACATTCTCTCCTTCCGATACAGTATAAACATTGACACACAACCGAAGGAGTCATTTTTCTCTCGGTTGATTCCTTTTATGGCCCCTTACTCCCACACATTGCTGTATGTGTGTTTGGGGTATTGGCATTCCGTGCAAGGAATTGTCCTTTGGGTCTTCCTGATAAAACGCTGCTCCAGGGATGGATAAGAAGCATATAACTGTTGACTTAGGTAACGCTATATGATTGGGAGGGTTACCTAGTAAAAGGTAACAAATTAATTTGTCATAATTTTCTCAAATTTGATTGCAATTTTGTTCTTAATAACAAAACTCTTATAACGCTATGCTTTTTATGATAGCAAAAATTGTATTTCGTTATTAATTTATTGCAATGTATTTTTAAACCAATAGAAGTTAGTAGATAGGCTTAAATACTTTATTCTTTAAAAGTTTGAAATTCTATTTTAGAGTCGAAATTCTACATTTCTTTTTGCCTTTCAGAGAATATTATACAAAAAGTGATGTGATTCTAGTTTAGAATGGAAATAATTTCTAGAATATAGTATAAAAAGTTAAATGATCTGCAATTTCCTGCCTGTTTATTCTACTATATATATTGAGTTATAATTCTATTCTTTTACCTTATGGATCCATCAATAATAATAACAATATATCTTGAGTTCGTCCGAATTCTATCCCAAAGCCCTGGAAACTTTTTAACAGTCTGTCAAATGTATCATTGTTGTAGAGTTTTTCTCTTCGGCCCTTACCCATTTTCCATTTTCCGAAATGGAGGAATGGCTTTAGGGTATCTGTACTTAATGCCTTTCCATTTTCACGCATACCTCTGCAATAAATACACACATAAGTCCGCTTCAATAAATGTGCGCTTGTGTCCTGTCAATATTTGATGCGTTGTTTTAAAGCAATTTAAAAAGGATTTCACAGCATCGAACAAAAAGCCTTCGTCTCACTTAACCAAAACGTACTTTCGGGTGAGCCTATTAAATAAACGTAGACCCTTTTATGGCCAGTGCATGAATCGGCCAAAAGGACGATAATATGCCTGCTCGAATACACAAAAGAGATATTTCGAGCACTCTTAAAAACCACTCATAATGTCATTAATAACACAAGCGACAGGCGGGCTTACAAAGACGTATTGAGCAAAAACTACGAAAATATTTTGTTTTGTCTTTCGTTTTCCAAGAAAAACTCGTAATTAGTGTGGTAACAATAATTACACAGAAAGAAATTATGAAGTTTTATTTACACAAAATTAATAAAATAATATTCAGTGAATAAAACTATATGTCCCAAAGGAAGTCAATATTTTAGTAACTACACAAAGCAAGTTTGTGACATTGGATTGCATTTCTTTTTGTGTGGTCATTGTCAGTATTGTACTGAAATTAATTGCCCGACGTCCAGAAATTTGAGCACACGCAGAATTACTTAATTTAATTTCTATAGGGAGCAGGAGGAAAGAGCCTGGACCCAACTCTGCTGGAGGATTCTATGGGCTTATGGTCGTCCTTCGTGGGTGGCGTAGCTGATGGTGTGCAAAGTGACACGCAAACTGTCCATAAAAGTTATTAAAAATGGATTTTCGGAAATGGGGGTTGTCTGTTGGTAATGGCTGAGGCGGGTAGTGAATTAAGCATTTGATTGAGGCAAAAGGGGGAGGATGTCTCAGGAAATAGTGTTCTATAAGAAAGACACTGCTTCTATACTCTTTACATTAGTTTTTATAACAAATCTTTCGAAATTAATACTCAGCTAACAAAGTACACGGTTTTACGTTATATGTCTATAGTTCCCAAAAGTATTGAATTTTCTTTATTCATAACAGGAGGTTCTAAAAAAGATTTTTTCAAAAGTAAAAATATTTTTACTAATGCGTTTTCTTAATCTAGCATGAACAATATTAAAACTATGACTATTTTTCACTAATAGTCTTCGACCGTAAATTATTAGTAACTATTCCCTTTTCCAGTTTTGTATTATAAATTTACCCATAGTTAAAACACAAATCGGAAAGAGGTAAATTCTCTTTTATTGCAACGAATTACTAAAGCGTCAAGTGTCGTACAATTTTTCAGTGCTTAGTGCTCAACATTAAGATGAATTAAATATTATCAATCCCTAACCCTCTGGACCCTCCAGCAGCCAGAAAGTCTCCATCTCGCCCTTGCCTTTGACCTTCACTGTGCCGCGGGACTCTACTTTATAGCCCACTTGGCGGACTTTCTCGCCGGTGAACTTTGAAAGCTGCGTCTTCCAGGGATCACTGCTGCTCTCCATCCGCGAGGCGGTGTTAACGGTGTCCCCAAACAGGCAGTATCGGGGAACCTTTTGGCCCACCACCCCGGCCACCACAGGTCCCGAATGGATGCCAACCCGAATGGCCACGTCTTCCATGTCGTGAGCCTTGAACTTTTTCATCACACGCAGGGCCAAGTCACAGGCGTGCTCGGCATGGAGGGGATTCACGTCTGGAGCACCTGAGACTGCCATGTAAACCATGCCCACGGTCTCGACTTTGTACACGAACGGGGATATGATCTCCTCGTCCAGGGCCGAAAACACCTTGTTTAAGGTGTTCACCGCCTGCATGGCTCCCTGAATGCTGTTCAAGCCTTCATTATAAACGTTCAACACCTCGAGGAAGATTACAGACACTTCCTCGAAACTCTGGCACACCTGCTCCTGGCTGAGACGCATCCTCTCAGCAATGGGACGAGGTATCATGGAGTAGAGGAGCTCATCTCCCTGCCGTTTCCAGGAATCTGCCAACTCAAGGGACTTCTCCAGCTCATCCGATCGCTGCTCTTCCTTTTCGAACATGATCTCCAGCTTGGAGCAGTGCTGCCATCCGGCCATCACCAACTCTCGACTGAGACCATGGGGATTGAGATCGTTGAGGTACAGACCAATCCCATGCAGCTCATCCAGATTTTCAATTAGGGGGCTACATAGAAAGATCAGTGAGTCCACGTCCTTGATGTAGAACATTTGACCCTTCAACAAGATAGACCGCAGGCCCTGGGAAGATCGACGTTCTCCAGTGGCTGGATCGATCTCATCCTCCCCCGAAGCTTCGTTAGCATCCACCGGGTGCGCTTCGTTGAACTCCTTGGCCTTGGCCAGCGCCATTGTTTGTGCTTCGTTCAGGTCCATCTCGTCGTAGTTCTCAAAGTCCATGTTCAGAACGGCATCGTAGGCGGCTCGGTTGTGGCCTGTGCGGATCAACTCGAACTCGAAGAGCACCGCTCTCATCTGGATCAGGGTATCCCAGTCGATGGTGGTGTCCTTCGGACGACGGCAGTGGAACAGGTCCATGACATGGGTGCCGATGAAACCCTTCGGATTAGCTCCGGGGTTGTGCATGATCCACGTCTCCACGATCTTCTCTCCGGCATGTGTGATTTTCATGTCGTGGTTTAGCACAAAGGTGAAGGGAAAGAGGTCGAGAAACACGTCCAGTTTCACAGTAGGCATCTTAAGCTGCGAAGGATGGGCGTCCGTATTGACGCGCTTAGCCATATACTCCCGGTTATCAAAGTCGAGCCGGTACTTTACGATCACGGTCAGTGGGCCTTCCGTCAGTTTGATTGGTCCAGCTGTGCCCCCGCTGATGTCGTTCTGGCTCTCGATTACGTAAGCTTTTATATTTAGACCGTAAAACTCCTGGGCAACCTCGGTCATCTGACCAATGAGGTACTTGGACATGCCTGTGCGACTGCTCCTATAGAGAATAACAGCTCCGTTGTCATCCATATTAGTCAGCTGCATGCTGGGCGACTTCATCTTCGGGTAAGTAAACCGCATAATCAGATGGATGTTGTCTATGGACTGCAGGAAATCGCAGAAGTAGCGACCTGTGGATCGAATCATCTTGTCGTACCCAAAGTTACTGAAAAAGCGGACAAAACAACGGCCAAAGAAGTTCATGCAGAAGTCAAAGGACTCGCCCGTGCATGCGGACAAAGCCTCGGCGATATCCGGCATCAGCTTGTCCGGATATATCTGGTGCGTCTTGAAGCTGTTGTGCTTGCAGTCAATGATGTGACACACTTTTTTCCAAATCTCCACTCCGTACTCTTCCTGCACGTAGTGCTGAACGCTCTCGTAAAGCATTCCGTACATGGTTGAAAATTCTGCAAAAAGTATATTAAGTACTATTAATTATTTTTTTAAAATTAGTTTACCGCAGAATTCTACTAAAGCGTTTTTTAAGGATAGTAAGATTTTTTTTCTTTTTGGTTTTGAATATTTGTAACCCAAAGACGAATAAGTTCCTGACCCCAAATAGGTAGGTTCTTGTTTAAAATAAATAAATAAATTTAAAATATTCCTGTTTCTAATTAGGAAACCAAAATTTTGTGGTTTTTGATCAAGTATTTTATATTTTTTAGCAACCGGAAAGGTCGTGATGGAATGTCAAGATTTCAGCTAAAAGCTTAGGACGTTGATTCTTTATTTTCAGGGATAATACATTTAAATAGCTTTAAACTTCTCCTGCATATAAATATATTTATTTTTTATATATATCTTTAAGTTTTACATACTTTGTTCAACAGGTCCCAATGGAATTGTGTCAGTTTAGTTATCCGTTTTGTATTCACTCTGAGCTTAATTGCTTGCGTTGCTTTTAGTCCATTTTTAGTTAGCAATTTTCTGTGGCTAATTTATTTATACCACCACGCACATTCAATATATGTATGAACACACAATCCGGGGCATATGCTGACTACAGTTCCCAAGGCAATATACACACGCACTAGCACTCAGAGAACACTTTGCCTTTTGTTGTTACTTTGATTTTTATTGGATGGGTGCTCACGAATGTGAGGAGGAAGCTGTGGATGCCATGATACCCCTAACCAGATTGAACTTTGTGGATCGTAAATTCCAAGCTTCACAGTTCGCATCCAGTACGCGAATGAAGCGCCTGTCGTTTGTCGCCAGGACTTTTATAGTCCCCGGCATTCGCTTTAGACTCCTCCTCCCCGTTGCTAAATGGTGGCTTCAGCCCCCTTTGGCAGTGTTACATTTCATGTCATTGCTCCTTGTTGATGCCAGTTGACGGTTACTTTTCGATAAAATATCAAAAAATGAAAGTTTTATTGCTTTTATACCAATAACTTACACGCACAAACGGAGAGTTAGTCACGTAAATCTTTATACAGGCTTTCGTTGCCGTCGTCTTACATTCTTGTAATTTTGTTTATTCTCCCTTTTGATGTGCGATTGTTTGGCTTGTATTGCACCACAATTTACATTTACTTTTAAGAGGATTTAAAAATTCCACAGGATAAATCTTGGGACGCACAAACATAAAAACAGCTACACATGTAACAAAATGTGGACATTTTAATGGGCATTCCTGGCAGAAGTGATGATAGCGGTTAAACAGGACCTGTATTTGCATTAACACCCCTCTTTCGGTACCTTACAGCGACCATAAACGTGACAACGTATTTAATTAATGCCCTTCTACACCGCCCCCGTGTCCATACAAATTGATTGGGCCACGTGCAGGAAGGGCGTTGACATCTCACTTGTAGCTTATGCTCCCAGGGGCAGACACTAGACTACGGGTCTACTCGGGATCCCCACCCGCCCATCGACAGACACGCAATCGAGGAATAAAAGTTGTAAAATACGCCAAACGACATAAAGATGAAACCATTTGATTGATGAGGAGGTCTCCTTTACAGCTGAACCAATGTGCTAACCAGGCTCTTGAACATTAACTTCAATACATACTCAAGCAATTAAAACAATACCGATGGCATTCAGTTGCTCCTTTGAGTCTGCCACGGCTTTAATATACTCAAATTGTGTGTTTTTAGTGACGTATTAAAATTACATTTTGAGAGTGTAGCGAACAACAAATCCATATTAATATAGATGTATACGATATAAAATCATAAATAATTAATAATAAAACTGTTATGACATTAACATTCTTTAACAAATATACATTATTTTGACTGTAGACCTACAATACAATTGGTTTGCAAAGCAATTAAAGCAACATTCGAATCAATGGCATTCAGTTGCACCTTTGAGGACGGCTCGGTTTACCGAATGGTTAACCATTTAAAATACTCAAATTGTGTGACGTATTAAGGGGTTTTATACCTTTTATTGTCGAAAAAAAGAGGAAAGTTTGGATTTTTATGTATGGAGCAATTTTTTTTATTACATGAATGATTATATTTTCTGTTCAGTTTGTTGTCAATGTTTGTGCAAAAATTTGTGATAAACGAGGAAAAGTCGCTCGGCTAGGAGCGCTATAACTTTCTTTCTACTGCTCAAATCTCAATGAAAATTTCGGGAAATGTTCTTACAAAGTTGTTCTTCAAGATAAAGCCATAAAAAAATTTTCGATTTTGAAAAAGGTATATAACCTCTTAAAAAACATTTTGAGAATGTATCTCCGTATGGCAACTCCTTATTGAAATTGATTTTTAAAATATAATAAACATAAATAAATAATAATTTAAATTTAAATCACTTAAAATGCAACTAGAGTTTCTTTAAAAAGAAGATACATTAATTATTTTTGTATTAAAATAAAATTCGTTTGCAAGGCGTTAAAGTTAGCGAATCAGATTTAGCTAATCTTCTATTTTTACATGGAAGAAAATTAAATTTGTGAAATTTATATTTTCTGATAAGTAATATTAAATCTTAATAGTACCCAAATTAAATGCTAATGCAGTTTTCAGTACTTTTATCCGCCTGAAAGGCGCTTTTATATTTTTTTGGATAAGGTTGACTTATTTAATAAATTTCTTCTGCACGGGATATTTTAAAACTCAATAGGAATAAGCAATTTTAAAAGTCTTTCATCTATTTTCCCAGTCCAACCTTGTTGAAGAGTTTGTCCTTTACGATCTGGGCCATCAGACCGTGTATCAGTTCGATGGTTGAGCGGCTGCAGTCCCGCGTGGCTTTCGACAACTTGTCCTCGGAGCGCTTCTCGTTTACATCGGTGCCTGTGGGGTAAAAAACTGGTAGTTATGTGCACAATTCTCGATCTCGACTCGTTATGTACCGCGACCTAAAAAGTTCTCACTCTGCTCCAGCTTCTCAGAGAGGTCCATTATCTGGCCGGTGGTGTACTCCGTATTGGTCAGCAGTCCCGAGCTGCCCAGCGTGTTTACCCAGTACTTGTTCCACAGGGAGTCAAGCAGCTTGCGGTCCAGTGCCGACTTGAAGTAGCTAATTTCCAGGGGATAGTACTGCTTGCAGTGAACACCAAAATCCTCGATCTTGTTTAGCGGGATTGTCTGGTACTCCGAGGGCTCCTCGTTTGGCGGCTTATATCCCTTTGGATAGGTGCGGAATGCCCCCAAACAGACCTTGCCAGCGGAAACAGTGCGCACCGGATCGACAACGATGGCCACGAAGGGCTCCTGGTACGTCTGGTTAAGCATCTGGGTGGACACATCGATGCCGGACAGCCAGCAACCGTATCCGGGATGGCTGTGGTACCAGCCCACGGCGTGTTCCATGCGGCCCACCTCCTTAGCCGCCTCCATGTAGGCGGTCATGTACTCGTAGGCCTGCGCCTGTGCATTCACGCGGGTCTCCGTGCCCTCCACGGGCAGTGCAAATGCATCCATGACAATCTGCGGTAACGAGCTGTAGTAGAGGAAATTTTTCATCTCTTTTGGTCACTCACCATCGTGTTGTCCTCCACCTTACCCAACATCAGTCCCATTACCTCCAGAGTGCCGCCCGAGCGGGCGTGCATTACCATCTTGAGCAGCGCCAGAGCCGAGATCTTGATGTCCTTGAAGAAGTGCGGATCCTTCTCCCAGGGCTTTGCGTCGATGATCTGGCGCTGCTGCTCCGCGTCGTAGCGGAAGATCTCGTCGCAGCTGGGCAGGGTTTGGATGTTGTTCTCCAACTCCCAGGTTTTCTGTGCGGCGTCAGTGTCCATTGCGATTATACTTTTGCCTAAATTTCTTGCCTTTTGTTGCGAACTTTTGTTTTATTCCGGCTCTAATCTAGGGATGACACTTGCAAGAGGTGGCACTATCGAAAGCTTAGTTCTCGTTCCCCAATTCAATTGTATACAAAGCCAGTGTTAAAAAAGGTACTTGTTAATTGCATTGTACCTAGTTCAGATGAATTAATATAATTTAGAAAAACGATTTTATATAATTTCGCAAATAATCTAGTAATATCTTAATCTAGATCATACTTATATATAGTACGACTGTTATTGTTATTATTTTTTCTCTTCACTGGAAAATAATGTATAATTAGGTTAACAACGTTACTGAACACAAAATTAAGATTTTACACGGGCTAAGCTAAATAACATTTTTTGTAATTAGATTAGAAAAATTTTCAAAAATAATTTAAGAGTATTTATAATTATGACGAACCGTTTATGAGCAAACAGACTTCTAGTTGTTTTTTGTTTGGCGTCTTTTTATTTTTCCGCCATCGTCAGCAGTATTCATAATTAACTGTATTATGTCCGCAGTCCTGCAACACTGTTTGAGGTTCTCTCTACCAGGGCTGAATTATATTCTCGATACAGAAAGTAACTTCATATCTTGCGAGTGTGCTTAAAGATTATGTTTGATCCTACAAAATAATGCTAATATAATAAAATTTTAACATCACCACGATTTGATGCATTGGTTTACAAAATTCTTTAACCTAAATCGAGTTGCCAGTTCCCGCGCCCTATATTTTAAATGTAACGCCTATACCGGCGCATTCGCATCAAGTTGGCATGACTTGCGCGTCCATTGCAAAAAAAAAATTCCTGCACAGAGTTTTCGGTACAAATTAACTACTTCGAAGCTCGTAATGTAGGCGGAAAAAGCGTTTTGTGGATACTGAGATTAGTGTAATAGATTAGTGTTCAATTTAATCGCGTTGTCGTCCTTCAAGATACTCAATAGATTTGATCGCTTTGCGGTTTTTCTAAGTATTCACATTGGTATTCGTTTTCCCCGCACCCAAGCCGCATTTGCGACGCCGCTGGGAAAATGTCGCTGGACGGAGCCAGGTTGCGCTATGAGGACGAAAATGGCAAAGTCGTGGTCCTGGCGGCCAAGGGACGCACCTTCCAGGTGGGCTCCTACTTCAACTGCGACCTGACTATAGAGGATCCGCAGGAGGAGCGGCTGCTTTGCGAGATAAAGTGCGACGCATTCGGCAGGGTGAGTCCAAATTGAAGGAAACCCGTTTACCCAGACGTCTCAACATACAGGGCTTTCATCATTTAGGTCAACATATACAACAAGTCCAGCCAGGAGCCCATCCACTTGAACGACCAGGTTTTCCATTCTTGCAATGGCAAGCGTCCCCTGCTCCACGGCTGTCGCATCACCATTCGGGACAAAGTCTACATCTGGGAGTTCCCCAAGACGTCAGAGGCGCAGGATGAACCAAGCACCCCAAAGAGCACCACATCGACCGTCGAGCAGGCCTCGAACTCCTGCCCTGCGCCGAAGGTAAGTGCCCACGATCTCCACCAGCAAGTACAGTCTTTCAACACCAAAATGTTTTTTTATATTTTCTATTTGCTTTCAGCAATCGCATCGTCTGCAGATCGACAAACGCCTGACGGTTCACAAGTAAGCAAAAGGCAGCAGGCAGAAGCCAGGCCGCCTACCTGGCCAACCCCTAAAATGTCTTGAATGTTTTCGACAGCAACAACAATAGGAAAACCCTGTTGCAAGCATGTGTTGCCTGCCTGTTAATAGTCCTCATAAAGTCTTATTTTTCTGATTCCCTTTCAGCTTTCACTACAGCATTAATTCGGATGACGAGGGAAATACTTCCATAGAATCGCGCGATCAGAACGAATCCCTCTTGGAGGAAGACAGCCTTGATTTCTCCACTCCATCCAGTTCAAATACAACAGCCTGTGAGACTCCCAAAGTGAATCTGCTTGAAGCCACGCAAAACAAGGAGAACACGGCCACCCCGCCGGGCAGCCACCAGAAGCTGCTGCAATTGTGCGCCCTCTCCGATGTCGTCATCACATCGTTCTCGCCGCGCGAGACAGGCGTCAAGGTGGAGAAGTCTTTCACCTGTGTTCGCAAGCCGGTCAAAGCAGCTAAGACCGTCTCCACGCCAAAGAGCGTTTACAGCACTCCAAAAGGCGGCGTGCTTTCGGAACTAAACGAGGACAGTTGCAGTCGCGATCTAATGGACTTCTGCACGCCTTCCACTTCGAAGAAGGCCAAGCGGGCTTCGTCCATGCATCTGATCGACTTGACCACACCCTCGAAGCTCCGACCTACGCCCAAGCAGACGCCCACGTCCATCACCGTGGACAGCACGGACGAGTCGTCCGATGCCTCTCCGCTGGTCATTGATATAACCAACTCTGCCACGCCGCCCTCATCAGGCCCTTTGCATCGGAACAACACTCCCCGGCGCCCTGGTGGCACCACTGGCGCTACACCCAAACGAACGCCCCAGTCCCTGATGAAACGGGCGTTGCTTACCAGCACCAAGAAACAGATCACCGCCAACCAGACCGATAAGACTACACCTGTGGCTAACGCCAAGCGGACAACACCGCCGGAGGCTCGTCGCCAGTGCCTAACCACTCCCCGACGTTTGCCTTTCCATCCGGTTAGGCGGACACCATTGCAGCGGCCGGAGGAAAAGGCAAGAGGCAAAGCACCCAATACCTCGCCCCGCAAGCGAAAAACACTCTTGGAAAGTCCCAGGGATAACAAAGTCTCCCAGCTCAGAAAGTCCTTTGCAGCGGCGAAGCGCAGTCCCGGCGTTGACAAGAGCAATAAGCTCGTAGCCAAGGCACGGCGATCGCTCAACTCGCCCAAGAGCGGATCTCCTAAACCTGCATCGCCATGTCCAAGAAAAACGTTTAATTTGCCACGGAACAAGTGCTCCACACCAGAGAAACTTGACGACTCAAAGGATGAACTAAGCCGCACTTTCACTATCATGGATGAAACCGAAGGAAGAGAACAGAGTGAGCGAGGATCGGTAATCGAAGCGGTGGCTGCCCTTATAACTGGAGATATGGAGAATGATGTATCCATTAAGCTCGCACCCGAAGTATTTGACAGCAAAATTTCTTCTGTCGAAGAGCAAGTCAAATCGATTAGCCCAGCCAACGAAAAGACAAATGAGTTACAATCTGAAGTGGAAAAAGTAAATTCTAAGAAAGATGATGTCATACTCGAGAATGAGCCAAATGATGTGGAAACTGCTCATATTGAGGAGTTATCTAAAAGTCCGTCAGATGCCAATCTTCAAGACGAGGAGAAAATCGAAACTTTGTCTATTCAAGTCAAAGAAAAAACAGAACTAGCTATTATCGAGGATAGCATTTGTGACGAGGTTCATGCAAATATTCCAAAGCAAACCAATGCTGGTAAGGAAAATTTATAATTTATATTATTTGTAAATAGTATTTTTTTCTAATTTTTATGAATTTACTTTTAAAACCATTGCAGCTAATCCTGATAAAATATTTGAGGATAACATTTGCGAAGAGGTGCTATTGGAGACTAAATTGGGTTAGTTACAACCTTTATTATTTTCAAAACCCAAGCTCAATTTTCAAATTATGGCACAGGCGATACATCAACAAAAAGAAAAGAACAAACTGCAAATGTAGATACACCCTCGATACGAAGAAGTTTACGCAAACTCTCTGTTGATCAAAGAGCAGTGACCACAACGCCCCGGAGGAGCAGTCGGAGATCCTCTGTGGACGCCAACAAGAAGGTGGTTTCGGAGGACAACAGTAAGCGCACACGCCGTGCTTCCTGTTCGGCGTTGGAAAGCCAAGAAGTGAGTACTCCACGACGCAAGCGTCGATTTACACAGGAAATGTCAACGCCAACGCGTCAATCGAAACGACTAATGAATACACCCAAGCGGGAAAACCAAGTGGATGAATCTGTTGGCGACATGGGCGTCATTTTGGAGGAAGGTGGTCCAGTAGACGGTGAGTGGACAATAATTAAATTTTAATTTAGTATACTATTCTGGACTAACATTACAATACTATTAGATATTTTTATACCCGTTACTCGTAGAGTAAAAGGGTATATTGTATTCGTGCAAAAGTATGTAACAGGTAGAAGGAAGCGTTTCCGACCCTATAAAGTATATATATTCTTGATCAGGATCACTAGCCGAGTCGATCTAGCCATGTCCGTCTGTCCGTCTGTCTGTCCGTATGAACGCTGAGATCTCGGAAACTATAAAAGCTAGAAGATTGGCATTTTGCATGTAGATTTTAGGAGTTCCTACGCACCGCAAGTTTGTTTCAAAATGGTGCCACGCCCCCTCTGACGCCCACAAGCCACAAGCTGTGGCCACAGTTTTGATGATATTATGAAAATTTTAATTGATATGTATTTGTTTCGTCAATAAATATCGATTGGCCTAATAAAAGTTTGCCACGCCCACTCTAACGCCCAAAACGCTTAAGCCTGGCTAGCGCCTACATTTCCGCCTTTCATGGCGCCATCTAACGGATGACTTTGGAACAGCTGGCCAGGGTGCTCAACAAAGTCAACGTTAATTCTCGATAATTTCTATTAAAGGAAATTGCGATGGTTTTCATTTGTCAATACATCATTTGCAATTGCCCGGCAAAGATAACTCCTTTCAAAGAAAGCTATTCGCTATACCCGTTACTCGTGTTGTGCAAACATTTAGACTTTAATATACATAATACTATTTAAGAATGTATGTGTTTAGCCAATATAAGTATGTATGTTTAATATTTCTAGTCAATTTATTGCACTCAAAAACATAAACATAAACACAAAAGCTGCCTGCGCTAAAGCAGCGCAGTGCTCGTGCTGTAAAGCTGCCGGCACTAAGAGATCGCCGAATTCAAATTGATAATTTGAACTTTTTGTCTTTTTTTCCTGTGGTCACTACAATTCACATTATGTTAAAAAAAAAACAAAAAAAAACACAAGAAGGCATATTTATATAAAGTTGTTTAGCTGAGTAACGGGTATCTAATAGTCGAGGCACTCGACTATAGCGTTCTCTCTTGTTTATATTGTTCAATACATTTTTATACCGAGACAAATTTTAGTAAAAAGTTTGCAACGCAGCATCATAAGGAGAGTCGATCTAGCCATGACCGCAATCTAACGAACGAAAAATATTTTAACCAAAAAATGAAAGCTAACTTCGGGCGGAGCCGAAGTTGATATACCCTTTCAGAATATTCTGTAAATTATATTGGTTGGCCAAAAATAAAACCCATAAAAAATCCCAACATTCTAACTTCAAAAATATCAAAGTTATGGCATTTTCAAGCGTTCAGTTATATGGCAGCTATAGCATATAGTCGGCCGATCCTTATAAAATTTGGTAGGTCGGATTATAACCCATAGAAAATCCCAGCTTCCTAACTTTGCAAACACAAAACTTATGGCATTTCCGATCAATCAGTTATATGGCAGCTATAGGATATAGTCGGCCGATTCTCATGAAATTCTGTAGGTCAGATTGATTGGCCAAAAATAAAACCTATAGCAAATCTTAACTTCCTAACTTTACAAACACCAAAGTTATGGCATTTCCGATCGTTCAGTTATATGACAGCTATAGGATATAGTCGGGCGATCCTTATGAAATTTGGTAAGTCGGATTGATTGGCCAAAAATAAAACCTATAGGCCGATCCCGGCCGTTCCGACTTATATACTGCGTGGGTGTGCGCGAAGTTTCAATCCGATATCTTTAAAACTGAGAGACTAGTTTTCGTAGAAACAGACAGACGGACAGACGGACATGGCTATATCAACTCAGGAGGTGATCCTGATCAAGAATATATATACTTTATAGGGTCGGAGATGTCTCCTTCACTGCGTTGCACACTTTTGACCAAAATTATAATACCCCCAGTAATCTGAATCAGTTGAGAAATTAATACAAATGAACATACCTTAAGTTTTTTAAAAATACATAAATTAAAATCATATATTTACAGCTATTTTGTGCATTAAAAAGCAAAAATAAAATATAGTAGTACAATTAAAATAATTTGAAATAATTTTACAAAAAGATTAATGTGTGTAGCTCTTGCACTAGGGTTGTTCAAGAAGAAGGATATATTTTAATAAGATTGTTTGCGTTACAGAAGAGAACTCTGCCATCGCTGACGACGAGAATTACGGCAACGAACTCATCGTCGATAATACAGATAATGTGGATTACCACGGCCTGAAGGATCTACTAAAAACACCCAAAAACTGTAGCACGCCACGCTTCAAAGGATTGAGGGAAATGATGCGCACGCCGAAGAATCCCGCCTCACCAATTTTGGGCAACTTAGCAGAGCTGTTAGAAACCTCTGCTGGTAGCACACCTTACCACAAAGGCAGGAGCAGCACAGCGGCTGACGTGGAGCAAGGAAAGACACTGGAGGGAATTCTAAAGACACCCAGCGCCAGAAATATTATGGTTCCAATTGAGCCAGCTAGTGCGGTGTTGAAATCACGCGAGGGTTCCTTGGCGGCGACCACGGAATACGATCTGAACATGACGAATACCACGTTGCATCTGGACAAAATCTTTGATGACGTTCCTGAAACGACTGGGCCCAACATGGAGGACACCGAAGCCGAGATAAATGTGACTGCTCTGAGCACAGCGACGGGTGTTGATCCACTGGGTTCCTCAAAGCTGAACGAATCCGTGCCATCAGAGGCTTTAATGACTGACTGTAATACAGCTACAGGCGCTTCCTTTAAGGATCCTTTGACCAGCACTACTTACAAGGCTTCGATGCAGACCGACCACAACCTAAGCGCCTTTACAGATACTGGCTCTAGGACCGCCTCGCCTAACCCAAACGAGATGAGCGGCATACAGTTGCTGGATCAGACATCGGACTCTATGTTTTTCGAACCTCTTATAGTGACGGGTGTGGAGTCAAGCGACGTCACTGTCGACGAGACGAGGGCTTCGAGTCAGACCATCCCACCTGCGGATAACATTGAGGATCGGTCAGACACAGATTCGAACGTTGGTTTAACTGAGCCCCTTGTATTCAGTGATGACGAAGAAGAATCAGAGAAGTCCGAAACGACTCCCAAAAAGCATACCTGTTTCGGGGAAACATCTACAGCCTACAAGCTTCAAGAATCTGGCGATTTGCGTGGCAACAAATCTGTTACTGAGACATCAGTTAATGATAAAAAGATGGATTCAGTTTCTGAAGTCTCTCTTATTGAAGTGGAAGATACCACAATAGAAGGCAGTAGTATTAGCGTATCAAACCCAATAGACGACGTAACTCAAGATGAAAAATCTCTTGTAATCGAACTAGACAAATTTAGGGATAAGGGAGAACCAGGTCAAGAAAACAATGAATCTGCGGTCGTGGAATTGACGATCTTAGAGTCCGAGATTTTTCCCCTGGACTCAACCGCAGGCTGTTCGGTCATTTCTTCGAATGTTTCTAACTGCAGTGAGGTGGACTTACCTAACGTTGATTTGAAACCACTCGATTCTAAGACGACAAATCTTGGCGATGTTAAAACTACGGAAGTTTCAATTGAAGGAACTAAAGAGGATGACGTTTCTCATTTGGATCTACCTCAATCTGAACATGAAAAGACCACTGATGTAAAAACTGATCAACCAGTCACAGAAAAATTATTTACCGAACGGGTTGCAAAAGAATGCAAAGATTTGTCTCTGGGAAATACAGCTGAAACTAATGAATCAAAGTTAACTTCTGAAAAACGTCCAGGAGAAAATAAACCTGATGAGGGGGCTTGTGATGCTGCAACCGATCAACTAGTCATTAAAACTTCACCTGTCCATGAACATCCAGAAGAACACATAGATGCAGACCAACCGATCATTGAAACATCAATTTCCGAAAAACATTCAGAAAACACCCAATCTGATGAAGTGTCCACTGACGTAATGACAGCACCTGCCGATAAACTTCCGGAGAAAAGCCAGTCTTATCTCCCTCTTGAAAAACAAACTAATGCGGAAACCGATCAACTAGTCATCAAAACAACTCCACCAGCCGAAGAATTTCCGGAGGAAAGCAAACCTGAAAAGACCACTGATTCAGAAACCGATCAACTGGTCATCGAAACATTACCTGCCGATGAACTTCCAGAAGAAAGCACATCTGATCTACTTCTTGAAAAGAAACCTGATGGAGAAAATGAATCGACACATACCGAAGTACTTCTAGAAGAAAGTACCACTAGTGCAGCAGCTGGTGATAGCGAAGTGCTTGGTCAAACACAAGAGCTACTTCCAAAAGATGTAATTCAAAATTGTGGGTCATGTCCCATTGGCGATACAAGCATCAGTAAAGCTATCGATGAAGATTCCGCTATCGATCGAAATGAATCTGTAGTTGATTCTGCCGAAGATTCTGGAGCCCTAAGCAAATCGCAAGAAAAACAAGAAAATTCAGCTAAGGAAGAAACTTCTATTGACGAAACAGCAAAGTATACATCATCTCCCAGCTCTACAGTTGAGATCGAACACTCGGAAGTTGTGGATTCGCCAGAAAACTCGACAGGAGTAGATAATGCAACTGCAACCAAAGGTGCTACCCCAACACCCAGAGACTTTAGTGTTACCGACAAAAATAACGATGACCAGCTGAATGGAGCAACTGTGTCGGATGCTGCCGATCAATCGTCTGATAAACAGGAACATCTAAATGAAAAGGATAAGGATATAATCGAAGGAGTTCCAAAAGATTCAATTTCGGTCGAAACATCCAGAAATGTAAATTCAACTGAAAATCTTCAGGTCGGCATCCAGGAGCCATCATCTCCTAAGTCTGAACCAGATAGTAAAGCGTTTAAGTCAACTCCTCTGGATAAAAATGTTCCCATTGAAGAAGAAGAGGAACCATCAAAAGAAGTTAAGTCGGCACAGGAAGCTGAAAAATCGTATCAAAACCGACCTAAGGAGGAAATTCACATGGCTGAATCGACTACAGATTATCAAACTTCAAAAGATGAATGTTCGCAAATTGATGAACGCATTACTGATCAGGCCAATGAGGATTCTATTCTTGAAGAAGCATGTGGTCAACCTAAAGTGCCCTCTGATCAAGAAGAAACTGATAGTGTGGTTGTTCAATTGGATGCAACGAAGAGCGTTTTTGAGCAAACTACATTAAATGAATGTTCATTAATGGAAGAAGCCGGAGAAAATCAGTCAAATGAAGATTCTTATATGGAGAAATCATCTGGATCCGACAGAACAAACGGTGATCAAGGGGAAGCTGAGAAATGCGAACAAAAGGAGGCTCTAAACAAAACTGAAGACGAAGTGATTTTGGATGGAAGTTCTCTAACTGAAGTCTCCGCGTCTGATCAACCCAAAGATGTCTCTATTCTATCGGAACCTTCTTGTTTTGAAAAAACTAAGGAAGATAAGGAGCTGAACAAAGAGGAAGTCAAGAAATATGGACCTGACGATGAGGTGATTCAGCTGGATGCCTCTAGCATTGTAAACCAAACTCCGCTTGATGGAAGTTTACTAGCTTCTAATCAATTCAACGAAGAATGTATTCTGGAGGACAAACCAAAAATGTCTGGGACTATGAATAAAGAGGAAGCTGAAAAATGTGTGCCAAAAGAGTCACCAAACCAAAATGGTCCTGACGATGAGGTGATTGAATTAGATACTTCGAGAGTAGTTGAGGAATCTATACTGGTTGAAAATTCTTTAATTGAATGTTCCGTCACTGAGGAGCACAATAAAGATTTTACTTCAGTGGAATCATCTAATTTCAACAAAACAAAGCCAATTTCAGTCACGGATCAAAAGGAATCTGAGACTTCAACAGGTAAATCCTATACAGATCACGGAGTTGAGGTAGTGGTGCAAAATGTTGAAATAAAAGATATCGAAAAGCCAGCAGATTTGCACAAGTCTACTGATACTGAAAGTCATAAAGAAACTGATGAGCAATTGTCGTTTGTAAAAAAGTCCTCCGTGAACGAATGTTATCAAGATGTCTTATCTGTGACCGCCGAAGTTTCTACGTCTGCACCAGAAATAGCGCTAAATGTTTCCAATTCCAATATCCAAGTTATAATTGCAGCACAAGCTGATAATTCCAAAAGAGCAGCGAATTATTTTGTACGCCAAACTGAAGGAGACGTACCTAGTGCAAAAGCTGAGGAGCAGGAAGCATTAGTACAGGAAACCGAAAAAGATGAAGGGGAAATTATTGGCGAACTCAAGGAAATACCAAAAGCACAAGCACAGTCAGATGACCAACAGATAGATGAAAAACTGTCCCTACAGAAGAAGATTTCAGAAGTTATACAAAGCGAAAAGTATGAAGTCATTGATTTGGATGATTCCAGTTCTAGCGCACAAGGACATGAAACAATGCCACAAGAAGCTTTTGAAAACAAAGAATCTGATGCACCAAAAGCAAGATCGGCTGCACTGCTAGATACGGAGCCTCAGGTATCAGATAAGCTGGCGCAACCAAAGCTGGTAGAAGAATTTGTCACTGCCGCTAAAAAGAATGATGAGAGAGTTACAACTTATGACACCACTTTGAATGAACTAAAGGAAGAAGGTGTTGCACCTCCTACACTCACAACTTTACAAAAATATGACGTCATTGATTTGGATGATTCCAGTTCTAGCGCACAAGGACCTGAAACATCGTCGATCGAAAATATTGATGAAATAGAATTTGTTGCATCAAAAGAAAGTACTTCTGCCTCAGTGGAACTGGCAACAGAGGAGCCCGAGGAGCCAAATAATCTAACTGATCCAGCGTTTGCAAAAGAGTCTGTCACTTTCACAACATCTAAAGACAATTTGGGTAATCTTCAGAAAAACGACTTTGCACCTTCCGAACCTAGAACAAAACCAATAATCATTGATGACAAAGTTGCACTTACCGAACAATTAGATGTAATTGATTTAGATGATTCCAGTTCTAGCGCCCAAGGACCTGAAACAAGGCCAATCGAAGCCATTAAAGAAAAAGAATCTTTTGCATCAAATACAAGTACTTCAACTGGAGTGCCAACAGAGAAGCCTCAGGGATCACAACAGGTGGCTAAACCACTGCTTGCAGAAGAGTTTGTTACAGTCACTGCCACTGATCCAGTGCCAGCAAAAGAGTCTGTCACTATGACTTCCGCTAAAAAGATTGAAGTAAAAGCAACAACATCTGAAGACCATTTCGATAATATTGAGAAAACCGATTTTGCACCTTCCGAACCTAAAACAAAAACAATAATCACTGATGAAAAAGTTGCACTTACCGAACAATTGGATGTAATTGATTTAGATGATTCCAGTTCTAGCGCCCAAGGACCTGAAACAACGCCAATCGAAGACATCAAAGAAAAAGAATCTTTTGCATCAAATGCACATACTTCAACTGGACAACTGCCAACAGAGAATCCTCAGGTATCAGAACAGGTGGCTAAGCCAGTGCTAGCAGAAGAGTTTAATACAGTCACTGCCACTAAAAACAGTGATCTGACTGATCCAGCGCCTGCAAAAGAGTCTGACACTTTGACTTCCGCTAAAAGGATTGCAGTAAAAGCAACAACATCTGAAGACCATTTCGATAATATTGAGAAAGACAACTTTGCAGCCTTCGAACCTAAAACAAAACCAATAATCACTGATGAAAAAGTTGCACTTACCGAAAAATTGGATGTAATTGACTTAGATGATTCTAGTTCTAGCGCCCAAGGAGCTGAAACAAAGCCAATCGAAGCCATTAAAGAAAAAGAATCTGAACTGCCAATAGAGAAGCCCCAGGTATCAAAACAGGTAGCTAAACCAGTGCTTGCAGAAGAGTTTGTTACAGTCACTGCCACTAAAGAGAGTGATGAAATATTAACATCTTCTGAAGCCACTTTGGATACTCTTGAGGAAGACGGCAATGCTGCAGAAACTGAAACAGTGCCGCCCAAAGACATCGATGAAGAAGTTGCACTTACTGAAAAATATGATATCATCGATTTGGATGATTCCAGTTCCAGCGCACAAGCACCTGAAACAAAGCCACTCGACACCGTTGATAAAAAAGAATTTGTTGCATCAAACTCGAATACTTTTGTTAATGTTTCAGTTGCACTGCCAACAGAGGAGCCTCAAGCATCAGATGAGCTGGCTAATGCAGCGCCTGTAGCAGAGAGTAAAAGGAGAATAAAAACTTCTGAGGGCACTTTAGATAACCTTAAAAAAGAACGCATTGCATCTCCTGAACCAGATACTGTTCAAGAAATACAAGACCAAGAAAAACTTGATAAGCCAGTGGTTGACGATCACACTGCAGAAGAGTTATCAGCTCAATCAAAATCGGAACATGGAAATATTAATCTTATTTCAGAAACGGCAAATTATGCAGTCCTGCTTACACAGGAAGCTCTATCCTCAAATGATAATGCTGAGCAAAGCCAAATCAATACTGAGAAAAAATCAAGTGAGGAGCTTGATCATAGTACTTCAACCGGTTTAAATACAGGAAATAAAGACAACATCTTAAAAATTTCAAACCCATCCATATCAAGTGATAAAACGAATGTGCCTCGACAAGTTCGCAAGCCATTGAACGACGAAGTTATATCTTCGGATGAAAGTGAGGCAAGGCCAGCAAAACGAGCGACTAGAAAGGGATCGGCTTCCTCTGATAGACCTGCAGAAGCTACCGGATCTGAAAGGATGAAGAGGAGGGCGCGAAAACCATCTGCTGAAGTTGAAGACCATGAAAAGGATAATAAGCAAGAAGATTATGTCCACCTTAAGACTAGGGGACGAGCTAGAAAGCCTTCATCGGAAGTAGATGAGTCCCAGGGAGACGATAAAACCGAAAAGAGAGAAGGACGAGGACATACTCCATCAGCAGAAGCTTCTGAGCTGATCCAAAAAGAGGAAAATGTTGAAGAGCATAAAGCGGAAGAAAACCTGGAACCGATCTTTGAAGAAGGCGAGCCAGAAGTTGAGAGGGAAGAGTCAACAGAAGGTGAGGATAACAACAAGAAGGAGCCAACCAATGAAAAAACAAAAAAGCGTGGGAGGAAACCATTAGCAAAAGAGCCAGATGCCACAATGGGCAAGAAAGTAAACACTGGAGATGTTCTGGAAGGCGTCCATGAATTTGAAAATCCGCATGAAGATCTATCGGATCAAGCAGAACAACAGGAACATCCAAAGCCTGTACCAGTTGTGTCACCGAATGTGTTAATGAAGGAAGAGGATGATCCCAACCAGAAGGCGACCACCATAGAAAATTCTAAAAGGCGAGGAAGAAAGGCATCTGCAAAAGAAACAGATACCACGTCAGGCAAAAAAGGAAAGACTGAACATGTTCTAGAGTCGGTCAATGAAGATGGTACTTCGCATTCCAATCGAGAACGAGAACCTGTGCCAGTATTATCGCCTGCATCCAATGAGGAGGAGGAAGCAAAGTCGGAAGTTAAGAGCAAGCAAGACCCAAGGGAAGACGAAAATATAAATCAAAAGAATCCTATCATAGAAAAGCCTAAAAGACGGGGCCGGAAACCATCGGCCAAAGAAACGGTAACGTCATTGGACAGGAATGAAAAAGCTAAAGACAACCTGAAAACCGCCAATCAATATCATTTGGATGACTCTGTACAAGAGGAGCCTCAAGAGCCTATGCCAGTCGAGGCTTTAAATTTATTTAAGGAAGATCAGGAAACGAAGACAGAAGTTGGTCCTAATGCTTATCCAGAAAAGCCAAGTAGGAGGGCCCGCAAGGCCTCAGAAGATGTAAGCATAGTACCCGACAAGAAGCACAAATCAGAAGAACTGCCTTCTATTGAAAAGCACAATAATAAGTCCAAGGAGTCAGTTAAAGAAGACCTTACAGAAGTTCGCGTGGAGAGATCGAAGCGCAGAGGACGTAAACCATCAGCAGAGGAGGTGAAAGCCACCGGAAGTAATCAGCAGAATGATGGCATAGAGGAGATCAAAGTGGATGATGCGATTGCCTCTATTCAAGAGGAAAATAAGCTCCATTCGGGAGCACGGAAATCAGCTGAATTTATTCCCGCAAATGTCCAGGAGCCGGTTAAGGAAGACCACATTGAAAGACCCAAGCGTCGGGGACGGAAGCCTTCAGTGGATATTGATAATGTAGCTCAGCAGAATCACCAGACTGATGACGTAGAGGAGATCAAAGTGGAGAATGCGCTTACCTCTATTCAAGAGGAAAATAAGCCCCATTCGCGAGCACGAAAATCAGATGAATTTATTCCCGCAAATGTCCAGGAGCCGGCTAAGGAAGACCACATTGAAAGACCTAAGCGTCGAGGACGCAAGCCTTCAGTGGATATTGATCATGTAGCTCGAGAAGTTGTGGAAAAACCCAAACGAAGGGGTAGGACACCAGCAGAGCACGAGAAGCAACTGAATGAGGACGAAAAGCAGGAGCCGGCGTTGCAAATTGTGGAGCCTGAGAAAAAAACCAGGCGCAATACACGCAAAGCTTCCGCTGAAACTGCTGAAGCCGTTCCGACAAGCGGTGAAGATCATCTTCAACAAATCAAAGAGGCAACTGAGCCGGGTTCAGAATCAGAGCCGACACCAACTAAAACAAAGGAGAAGGAGGAGCACAAAACCCGGCGTCGCGGTCATAAGCCAACGGCGGAGACGATTGAGGAACCGATAAAAAAGAACTCGCCCGAAATCCCATCTCACTCACGCAGGCGTGGACGAAAGACTTCCGAAGATGAGACCCTAACAACCGCAGATATTGCTGAACCGAAGACAAAACTTCGTGGAGGCAGGGTGTCCTTAGATCAGGAGAAGGAGGAAATCCAATTAGAAGTCGTAGAACTGCCACCGGCGAAAACAACACGGCGCGGTCGGAAGCCAAGCGCAGATGTGGCAACCCCAGAGAAGAAACCTCCCTCAAGACGCGTCCGAAACGCCTCAGCGAATATCGACGAAGGGACGCCAGTGGCCAAAAAGACGACTAACCGACGTGGTCGAAAAGAAGATGCGCTTGATGAAGAGCCCATAAATCAGATTGATTTACAGGATCTCCCAACGGACAGTGTGCCGGCAACGGTGGTCACATCGAGCTCTCCGGCCAAGACTAGCGATGGAGAAGAACTTACGCCTCGGCGCCGCGAGGGCCGCAACCTGCCGCGTAAAAACTACGAAGAGGCACCAGACGACGAGAAGCCGCACTCCGCCTCGCGACGGGCACGCAAGCCAGCGGCCAGCAAGGGATTGGCCAACACGGCGCCAGAGCCAGATGCACTTACAGCTACACCCGTATCCAAACAACCACCCATCGAGGAAGATGTCACTCCGGCCAACACGGGTGCCATGCCGGAGCCCACGACTTCTCAGCGACGCGAGGGACGCAACCTGCCGCGCAAGAACTACACGGAGGCGCCGGACGACGACAAGCCCACAACGGCTCGCGGTCGCAGAGTGCGCAATCTGACTGCGAAGGCCCTGGAGTTGATTGTGGACTCCTCGCCGCGTCCGGCGACTCCAAAGAGACCCAAGGGCAAGGCGATCGAGGATGAGGGCGCCCCCGCAAAGGCTACACAAGAAATTCTACCAGCAGCAGAGGGGACTACGCCGGAAGATGAACCGGTGCCCGCTGCCAAAGGTCGTGGTACACGTCGTAAAGCAGACGAAGTCGGCGATGTATTGGCGCCAGCCAGTAAGCGAGGAGGTCGCGGAAATCATAGTGGGACGGATGAGTCAGACCAGAAGCCGGCAAAAAAGAATGTACGCGCAACGGCACGCAAAGCTAAAGTCGAGACTGACCCGGAGGAACATCCGCCCACCAAAAAGGCGCGAGGCGGAGCACGTGCCAAAACACCTGTGGCAGTAACAGAGGAGTCTGCCTCTAACCAGGAGGGGGAGCCACTCAAGAAACCCGCTGCTCGCAGCAGAGCACGAGGCGCGAAGGCAGCAGAGCCCGAGCAGCCCCACCAGGATTCCCAAGTCGAAGTCGCCGCCTCCACATCCGCGACGACAGTGCGCGGTGGGCGAGGCAGAAAGGTGCACTTCGAAGCAGCGCCGGAGGTATCTACCAGTGAGGATGCGCCCAAGCGGGCAACTCGATCCCGCCGGAAGTAAAACCTATATTTTTTATTCACAATCTTGCACCACTTTGTATAATTTTTTGATTATTTTATAATGTTTACCTATCAATTTACGTTACTAACTTCTGTATAAAAAATTTGCATTTATAATTTAATCATGGAACAATATTATATTCTATTGTTAATCCCCACATTTCGGTGGGATATGAAAGGGATGGCTCCCCTCGCTCAAAAATCCTTAATAGATTTAAGGCATTACACATTATTAATACATATACATAGTTTACCTGTAAGACACTATCAAAAACCCCCAAAAATAATAAAGATTCGTAAACCTTATGGCTAAAAACTTATTATTGAAGAGGCAAGAATATGAACTTAAACCAATCGTTGCAGTCATCTTTATTATCTATTATCATAATAAAAGGTATATTTTATTAAATCTGGTTTTTGGTATAGACATATATCTAATGCTGGGCAAACATTTATAGACTTTTGATTACATTCGGGATTTAAGTAACAAGGGAATCATATAAAAGCTGGGTGTATGTATACATATATAGCACATCCAAAAATCATACGCCATATAGGGCATAGGATTGTGTGTAGAGTATGTAAGTAGAAATATTGTACATCGCGTAAGCCTATACAAACGTAGAGAATATTTTCTTATATAACAAAGCAGTATTGCGTAAACAAAATAATTCCATAAATAACAAAATAAATAAATCAGACCGTCAATAAAATAAATAGCTGAACCTAGGTAAATAAATCATATTCTCAATCTCACTGGTGCTGGAAAAGTGGGGATAATACTTTCTAAAGCTTCTAAAAAACATGCTTACATAAGTTCTTCTTAAAGTCTAAGCTCTGCTAGCTAAATGCAAACAGTTTGTGTAAGTGTGTGCGTCGATCTGAATCGTTTTCGTTCGTTTAAATTTCGAAGATCCTCTTAGGCCTTCATAAGGAGGTGCGGTTCGGACCGTAGCGAATCCGTTAGATACTGGATCTTCATGGTCTTTTGAAAGTAGCGCTTTTCGTTCGGTGAATTTACCATGTAGACTATTGGACGGACGCCCACGTTGCGCCATAGATCGGCAATGTGTCTGAAAAAAACAAATTGTATATTTATTGTTGAACAAGGAACAGAAAATTGAAGATTAAAATGTTCTGAATACCTGCAGTGGCAACTTTAGAATCTCAACAATGTTAATTAATATCATCTTTTTACAAATTTAAATGGTTCTCTAAAACGCTTTGTAAAAAGTTGTAGTTTCTTTAGTGCTTACGAAAAAATGTTTTATAAAAACTAAAGAAAACTTTTTGAAAAATAATTTATATTTAAAAATTATATGGATGTTCTTTTTGCTAAGTGGATTGGGTAGCACTGTACAATTTAAAGTCATTTTAAAAGCACAAAAGTACACATGCCCGAAGTTATATTTGTTCAAGCGAGTGCTGTATTAATAATTCAATTTACTAGAAAATAACAGGTTACGATTTCAAGACCTAATTATATTCGAAAAAAATCTAACGACTTACAAGTTAATCTCTTCTTTGCTGAGAAAGACCACGCTTATTCCGATAACGGGGGCAATAATGTTGCGCAAAATAGCACCATAGATTGAGGTAATAAGAGTAGAGGATTTGAGGATGGCCAGTGACAAGTAGGTCTCGTGCCAAAGGCCGCAAATGATTTCTGGCTTCAGCTTTCGCAGCTGCAAAAGCAAATAAAGTTTGGGTTACAAACTAATTTAAAGTGAATTAGAGGATTCCCGGCTCACCTGATAAATTGCAAGTGGTGAGCGACTGATAACAACGGTGCGCTGGGTGAACGTCTCGTCGGTGGTCATAAACTTCTGCAGCTGGTCAATCATACGGGCGCTGTTGTCGTGCAAGCGCAGAAAAACCGTTGCCTGGGCTGCCTCCGTATCGAGGAAATCGGAAAGCTGTCTGAGTGAGGGCACCGATTCCGCCTCGTACTGGGACCTGTGTGCGACGACATGTAAAAGTAACTTACGAACGTTTTCAGTTGATTGATTGGCTTACCCCATCGGATGCTGCTCCGTGATGTTTAGCTTTTGCAACTCGGCCAGCGGTTGAGCCACATTCAGGCGTTGAGGGTTAGCCACGACTATTTCGCCGCAGGACGAAAGGCCGGCATCCAGAAGCACGTTCCGATATCCACGTGCGAGACACTGTTTTTAAGGGGTGGAAAAGGGGATGTTATTGATTTTTGTGCTGCCAACCACCGGCTCGTGACGTCACCTACCTTTTTAATGCCTGCCTTGGAGTTTTCGGGTGCATCAAAGCCGGCCGCCCGGTTTGCGATGGCCCAGTAACTGGGCCAGTCCTCCTCCGTGCTCAGTAGGCTGAGCAGGCGCTTCTCATTAGGACTGCGCTGCAGCTTCACGAACTTGGAGGCGATGCAGACGACGAGCAGAGTCAGTGTGCACCACGGGATGGCCAGGTTGCAGAACAACCAGAACACGTTGAAGCAGAACAGGATTAGGCTCACCGAGCAGCAGAGCAGCTGGTAGATCATTTTGAAGGCCAGCCACAACCAGCGCCAGTAGGACATTCAGCACAAAACTATTCGGGGGATATATTATGTATATTGCTGATCTAGGGTATCTTATGCCCGTGCCCTTTTCAGAAGCACTTACTCAAAATAGAATGCGTGCTGCCACCACCCGCTACTGCTCAACCTGCCACTCCCTCGTCCGACCTTTGGGATTATATGCTCCGCCTGAGAGATTGCTGTTTTTTTCTTTCTTTCACAGACGGCTTCCACTTTGCTCCGGTTGAAATGCCACCAATTTAATAGATACTATTAATAATAACCATCGAAAACGCAACTAAAATTTCGCGCAGGAGGAGCATACATTTTCCCATCCAATTGTCTATCGGTGCGTGTTCTCATCGATATCGTCTATTGCCCGCAAACAGCTGTTAGGGTATCGGTGGAGTAACGGTGGTGAAGGCGCGCTTTTTTAAAAGAATAAATATTTGCAATCAATTATATTAACTATGTTTGCAAAATAAATTCAAAATTAAATTTAAAACCCTTTAAAAGAGATAGCTAACCAAAAAGAAACCATGTGTTTTTACAGAGCTCATTTTTAAATATAAATAGCATAATTAAGGATTAATTATTCAATAACAAAAAGCTCATATAAGATTTAAAGCATTTATTTTTTAATCGATGTGCCGATTTTTGGTGTTGTTTCTTTTGCCTATGTTTTTCGATTTCTGAAAGTTTGCCAATCAAGGAACATTCGGCTACATGGTTAAAACTTATTAGATTTCACCTCATTGGCTGCATCTTTTTTAACGACTCCTTTTTACGCCATGTGAAAAGTTAAAAGTATTTTTTTAAGTAATTAAGTAATACACTTTTAAGTTAACACTAGAAAGTCTTCTGGGAATGGTGCTTTCTAAAAGCGGCCTATCACTAATTAAGAGCTAGAATGGAAAGTTAAACTAGTTTATGCAGTAGTATTTTTATGTATTGGTTCAAAATAATAAGTCTTAAAATTCTACAGCTTTGTGAGCAGGCGTATCCAGCGGCGAATAGTGGGATGTGCTAGGCGGGTATAGACTCCCGGATAGTACGGATCCGCGCAGCCCACTCCCCAGGATACAATTCCGATGAGGGTGCCTTGGGAACTAATCGGACCTCCGCTGTCACCTGCAACAACGATCAGGTTCGTTTTTTTCATTATCAACTATGAGATTAATTATTATCTAACTCACCTTGACAAGCATCCGTGTTTCTGGCGGCCGCACAGAACATTCTGGAAGATTGATAATTGCATGTTTTGAGAATTAATTGGCTATGTAGCTCTGTTAATTTGTTGAATTGCGGAATTGTTGAGCTTTTATCAGATCTCGCTTCATTATTAAAGCAAATTTTTAAAGGTTAAATATGTTGGTAACCTGAGTCCCCCTTTCCCTACTTACGCTTCGGTGACGCCTCCATGGTAGCGCAGGTCGTTGTGACACTTCTCCTGATTGACCGTTAGCACAGTGGTGCTCTTAAGAACCGGTGAGAGGACGGGATTTGTGGTGCTCATGTGTCCCCAGCCGGAGACAATGGCTGGCACGCTGTCAGAAAGCTTCTCACCCACGGCGGGCAACCGAATGGGCGCTACTTTACCCAGCGGCGAACTGAGTGCTCCGTCTGCCGTTCTCAAAAGGGCCACGTCGAAGTTCATATCCGCCCGATCGTAGGCCGGATGCTTGTGGATGGCCTTCACCGGCTGGACGGTTCCGCCCGTGGAACGCAGGACGCTGCCCTGGCGCAAGGTGAACTCCCGGGGCTGCTGCTCGTGGCCGTCGATGCAGTGGGCGGCCGTGATGGCCCAGTTGCTGGACAGGACCGAGGCGCCGCATATGTGCACCGTTTGGCGGCGCAGTGAGAGTTGGTATGGGAATTCACCCTCAACAGCTTCGCGACCGTTGACGATCCGACTGTCCGGTGGTCGTTGGGCTGCGGCATCTGCGCGCGATGCCGCCAGGATCAGACTGATCCCAGCCAGAAGTACGAACAAGGTGGGGGCTCGAGGCTTTTGCATGGCTCTGCGGACGAGTGGAAACTAACCAGCACTTGGAATCCGTTAGTCGATATATTTCGCTGGCGCTTTATCAATTGAGGTCGTTATCTAGTCTGGAACACGGTTTCGGAAGAAGCTGTGCCGGTGCCCGTAATTAACCATTGTCAGTTGGGTTTTTTCTTTGCCTATCTTCCAAATTCTGTGATTTTAATACTGTTTACAACGGTGACGGCGGCAATGAACTTCCGCAAGAGCATTGGTTATTTGCCGTAGCGGGTGGATGAAAACTGAAAAGGTTACCACATTTCGGTACTTAATAGAGCTTGAACTTAATCTGGTTTTCCGAAAGATTAGAACCTAACAATCGGTGTAACCTTTACTGTTAGGTAAGAGCGGAGTGTGCATTGTTGCTAAATTTATGGCCACGGTTTGTTCCTTGAATTTGATTGACTAGATTCTTTTGCTGCCATATATCTGTCTCGTCCACTCCGAAACAGTGTATTTACCTAATTTAAAGCCTAAATAAGTCATTAACAAACTTTTGCAATTCAAAAATGACTTTCTTTTTCGTTAAAAAAAAACCGACATTTTAATCATGATTCCAAATTAAAAGTAACACATACATTTTTTATTATTATAAATTATTATTATTATTGTATTTCTACTATATGTCCCAATTTTGTTAAAAATTGTTTTTCGATAAAAAATCTTTAAGAAAATAGTTACTTTTTGTAGAAATCGGTCACAAGTTTTGACCTTTTAATTTATTTGTAATCAAAACTCCAAAATTCAAAAAAATCTCGGAGGTCTCTAATTTAAAGTATTAAGTTCAAGCTTACAATTCAAAAAATATTCATTTTATTTTGATTTGATATCGCCTGGGTCAACATTTTTATTTTAAGACTCTTAAAAAGAATTAAACCAGACTTATGTGTCAAAGTTGTGTTTAATTTTGCAAATTAATTAATTTCGCATATAAAAATCACTTTTGAAACATTTTTAAAAAATATACTAAATAATTTAATAATGGCATAAACTATCAATAAAAATCGATAGGCACAAAAACAAATCGATTTTTTTCGTTAAGCCGTCACACTGGAGTATGGTATATCAGAGCGATTGAGCAGTGGTCACACTTAGTCTGCAATTTTCAAGACGGATTTACACGCGCGCTTGTTTTTCGATCCTTATGAAAAAAACATAAAATTTTAACGCAAAAAGCACCTTTAATGCGGGAAAGAAATTACCAAAGTATTTTTGGCTGCTATTAAAAGAGCATCCAAATCGTGTATGTGTATATGGCATATATCGCCAGAACCCTGGAGCGAGTGCGATAGCAATAGCAGGCCGAGTGCAGCAGTGTAATTGCAACGAAGGGGAAAACCAAAGAAGTAATAGTTTTTGAGTGGAGCTCATAGCTGGGAAGAACAAAATAAACGATAAACTGCCGTATAGTCATGGGCCCCTTAAACAGTTGAGAACGGGAAGGGAGTTTTCGGCCCGCAGCAACCACAACAAAAACAGGCAGTGGAAGAACAAGACAGCGACGGCCACTCCTTTTGTGTCCGACTTCGAGATGTGTGCGTGTTCGTGTCCGCGTCCGCCTTTGTGTGTCGAGCAATTGAAAACTGGTGATTGCTGAATAAATTAAGGTAGCTAAATTAATAATTAGCAAAGCGAGTGGGGCCAATAAAAAGTGAAAATCTTCTGCGTTTTCGTAAGCAAAAGAAACTACAGCTACAGTTAAAGATAAGAAGAGCTCTCGCATACACCCACACACACAGAAGCGCAGGCCGAACAAACGAGTGTGCGTTCGTGTGAATGTGTTTATGACTCACGGCTGGTTCAGTGAGAGGGAGAGAAAGAGAGCGAGAGTGGTGGCTTGAGTAACAGTAACAATAGAGAACGCAAACAACAACAAATCGTCCAACGTTTAGAATTTCCCAAGTCGAGCGTAACTAAACGCATTTGAAGAAAATTCCATACGCACAACATACATATACAAAGGGAAAGAAAGAAAGCCGCTAGCAAGATGAGCTTCACCAAGTGGTTCAAAAAGAAGGAGGTGATCTCCGAGATCGGCGCTCCCACAAACTTCCAGCGGCACTTCCATGTCTCGCGCAACCAGGAGACGGGTGACCTGGAAGGCCTTCCAGCACCCTGGCTGCGACTGATGAACCAGCAGATCACTCGCGATGAACAGGATAAAAATCCAGATGCTGCCTACCATGCCGTCAAGTACTACAACTACTCGATCAAAAAAAAGGAGAATGAGGCCTTCAAGCCCTTTATCACCGAGGATGTTATCCATGAGGAGTCCAAGGAGATCGAGAACTATGTGAATTACAAGAATAAGCACAAGTCGCAGGACCCGGAGAAATCCGACGACGATGGCAGCTCCACGGCCACGGAGACGGAAAGCAGCAGCGGATGCGGCTCCTCGGCGGGCAACAGCAACAGTAGCAGCATCAACGATAGCAGCCAGCAGTCGGCGGTGCGACTGGACGCCTTGGAGGAAGTGTTTAAGGAGCTTAAGTCCAATCTGGAGCACCGCGAAACCCTAAAGGCGGCACCACTGGAGCCGCCTCCAGTGCCGCCCAAAAAATCGCCGCACACCATGCCGCCCAAACCGCAGATAAAGCCAAAACCCCGAGGGGTAACCCAGAAGTTCTCACGCACCTCAGATCTCCGGCGAGAGGAGGACTCCGATAACCAGCACAAGATCAACACAGACACCATCATCATTAAGCCAGCCGGCAGTGTCCAGGATGCCGCAACGGATGACAATCCGGACGAGACGATACTGCGTCGCTCCAAGGAAAAGCGGGCTCAGAAGACTGATGCCGAGATCTACGACGAACTGCGAGCCATTTGCAACCCTGAAGATCCCAGGGAGCGCTACAAGACCACCCAGGAGGTGGGCAAAGGGGCCTCAGGAATCGTGTTCATAGCCGGCGATTTGCAAAACGAGTCGCAGGTGGCCATCAAGACCATCGATATGAAGAACCAGTCCTCCAAGGATCTCATACTCACCGAAATCCGAGTGCTCAAGGACTTTAATCACAAGAACCTGGTAAACTTCCTCGATGCCTACCTTCTGGAGCCGGAGGACCAGCTGTGGGTGGTCATGGAGTACATGGACGGCGGGCCGCTCACCGACGTCGTTACCGAGACTGTGATGAAGGAGCGCCAAATTGCGTGCGTCTGCCGCGAAACGCTCTATGCGATCAGCTTCCTGCATGCCAAGGGCATTATTCACCGGGACATCAAGTCGGACAACGTGCTGCTTGGAATGGATGGCTGCGTCAAAGTGACGGACTTTGGGTTCTGCGCAAACATCGAGGGCGATGAGAAGCGACAGACTATGGTCGGTACACCGTACTGGATGGCGCCCGAGGTGGTCACACGTAAAAAGTACGGCAAGAAGGTTGACATCTGGTCCATCGGCATCATGGCCATCGAAATGATCGAAGGCCAGCCTCCCTACTTGTACGAGACTCCACTCCGCGCCCTCTACCTGATCGCCGCCAATGGTCGGCCGGACATCAAGAGCTGGGACAAGCTTAGTCCCAACTTGCAAGACTTCCTCGACCGCTGCCTCCAAGTGGAGGTGGACAGAAGGGCCACCGCCGACGAGCTCCTAAGCCATCCGTTCCTCAACGACTGCAGCGAGGTCAAGGCTCTGGTGCCCAACATCAAGGCCGCCAAGAAGGTGCTGCGGCGTAACGTATAGTTGCTGTGTAATCACCGGGCGGCCAGGCTGCTCTACGCGTGATCGGAAGCAGGATCGGGATCTGCCCCGTGTGTATAATGAGTTTTCAATGTAAATTTGTTTTGTGTGGACGAAACCGGAACTGGAACTGGAACAGAATGCTGATCATAGTCTTTGTAGTGTGTACAACCGTAGAAATAGCGAGAGCAGGACTAGGACCCGGCAACTCCCCTTCGAAAACAGGTAAGTCCCGCTTACCGCCTGCCCTTCGAATACCCAGGTAGCCCATCTACGAGCTCATTATTCAAGCGAAGCGATATCCATTTCAACGGAAACCTTTTCGCAATCGCACATGTGGAAACAGAGGCTGTCGGTTTATTGGCCGATGGGTTAGTTTCACTGCGTTGTCCAAATTTTGTCAAAGACCTAGACCCAAAACGGCGATAGTTGACTATCTTGACTCTCTTAATCAGTAACTGGCTCCGGTTCGAACAACAGATTAAATTCGATCAAGGTTGAGAAGTGCACGAGGTTTTGTCTCTTGATTATTTTTTGTGCTGTTATACTTAAAAAAGGGAATGCTAAACTGGCAATTGTGTACAACGCCCAAAGTAAAAATATGCTGTCATACATATGTAGCTAAAACTTCGAAAAAATATGTGTCAAACCACAATGACTGATCTAGAAAGATCGCTTCGCCTCTTCCTATATACATAAATTTGAAAAAGAGCTGACTGTAACAAAATTAAAAAGAATTTTTTTTAATTAAAATAAGATTAATATGTTCTTATCCAAAACATTACTAGCGGAACAAACAATTTTATATTTATGATTGCAAATCCGAAAAAAAAACATTTTATCAATACTCAAGTTGTTTTTTAACAAAGGGTTAACCGCGTAAATGTACAATCATCTTACAAAAAAAAACCGTCGCAAATCGTTTTTACATTAAACTTTAATATAATTATTTTTATGTTATAACTCCTTAAGCAAATGCTTTTTAAATTTTTCGTAATAATAAATCATTATAACTTTCTGGTTTTGTCATAATGGTAACCATTTAATAGATTTTATGAAAAATCGGGTTTTTCAAGAAATATTCCTTAAAAATGAATAATGTGTTTATCCTAGTTGTATTTACTCTTTCCCGAGAGCATGTGCCGTTATTCGGCAAGAGCTGATGTTGCATTCGTTTTTGTCTCTTTCATTTACCCACCTATTACGTATACTACATACGTGCAGAGTTTTTTTTGCACAAGACATCCCATTGAAAACTGACAATGGACAAAAAAAGAAAGAAGCTCCGGCAGCAACAACAAAAAACAACTAAGTACGCAATTTAACACGCTCGTTCGCATTTCCTGTTTGGGATATCGCTTTGTCTGGCCAAAAAATATGCATACATCATAATAAAGAAAACTTTAATTCACACACATTCAGCCCAGAAAACACCTACGCGCATCGGAGGGCATTTGTATTGGCCTTATCAGACGAGTACAACACACAGTATAAGTGCTATTGTAATTCCCCATGGCTGTCCAGAAACCAGAGCGGAATTTATCAAATTCTTAGAACAATTTTCGTTCTATTTCGATGTGATAAGCTTAGCAAAAAAAAAAAAGTAGATCGTGAAAGTTCTCCGATAAGAAGAAAGAGAGAGGGCGGTGGGAGAGCGAAAGTGGAGTCAAAGTCACAAAGAATGAGAGTGTGTATAATTGATTCTGATGGCGGTGCTCCTACTCTCTCGGGCTCTTCTGCGTCTTCGGTCGCCCTCCCACTTACTCAACTTAATTGCTTGTGCAGGAACAAGCGAGAGGGGGGATGGCGACGTCGCGACTTGGCTGCGCTATTTATACTCTCTCCCACTCCGGCTTTTGCCTCGGCTCTTCCCCTCCATTGTGATGCACTGGCTCTGCATCTTCCAGGGGCTGATCCAAAGTAAAATGGTGAAGGGGTACAGTTAATAGTGAAACGGGGAACGGATAATAATGACATTTATTTTACGATTTTGTGATATTATTTTTGTAATAGGTGAGGCACGCTATCGCCTATTACCCCCTCTCAATTCGCCCCTGACTTCTTTACAAACTTCTACCGGATCTCTAGGCTCTTTATTTGTTTATATTACTGGCGCATACTTTTGCTTTCCGTTTTTCGTAAGAGGGAGGGAGAGAGTAAGACGGATTTTCTTACTTGCGGATATTGAAATCTTAAATGCTGGATGTACTGGAAAGAGGGGAAAGGGCTGCACAGGAATTTCGCAAAAACTGAAATATTTTTTCGCTTTCCGTTCTGGCTTCTGGGCGTGGAATCCCGATGCTGGGGCCAAAGTACAGCTGGCTACACAGAAAAAATAACCACTTGATATAAAATCCAAATCGAAGTCATCATTCATGTGACTTTGATTTGCAAAATCTGTAATTGTTAACGTACTAGAAAAGCACGAATTCAAATCACACTACCAAATTGATTTTAATCCGGTTCTAATAATTTTATATTAAATTTAAATATCTAAAAACATTGTTTGTAATTTTTTTTACTTATTAAATTAAATTGGAGGTATCTCTGGTCGAAAAAAAAAAAAGGAATTTGAGTGTACCATATCATCTTTCTTTCCGTGTACCCATGTGTGCGATAGTGAGTGAAAGGGCCTCGTGAATCCCAAAGACATTTGGAAATGGCCTAGCGAGCGACGCCCCAAGACCAAGAAATAATGACTAAACCACTCACATATAGTTCGATTTGGAATGGCGCCGTCGAATGATAATTTCACCTTGCTCAAAAGGTTTTTCGGTTGCTTGTCTGCGAGTGTGAGTGTTTCGTTTATTGAACCACACAAGTTGTTGTTTGGTAGCTATGCGGAATTTTAGATGATTCATTCATTACTTTGCGCCAGCGACTTATTTCCCACCCAACGCCGAGTGGGGTGTTTATAAACGACCTCCCCTCCCCCGGACAGATCACGCAAGACAACAATGCAAAATTGTGTATTATACTGAATCCCAATCCACTGGCTTTAGTAACATTTGCGAACGGGTGTTTTGTCAGAGTTTCCAATGCCTGCGACATACTCATCCACACACACACGCTCATGTACTCGCTGCAAGTACACTCGCAATAAAAATATATATTTTTGCGGTGAGAGTCAGTGGATCGGATCGCTATGTAAGTGCATTGGTACACGATTCACAAGTGAACTTCTTTAGGCCCTCTTTTCATCTGGAACGCGCTCTCATTTGCCTGCCAACCAACTATCAGCTACACAAAAAAAAATTAGTTTGTTTGGAGATATTAAAAATGGTTTTGAAACATTTGATATTTAGGAAATGTAAATTTAATATACACATATATTTTAATGTGATATTAAGTTAGTTAGTCAAATGTTAAATGATATTCATTAAAAATATAAAAACTCTATGTATTTTCTTTCTAACACACCCCTCTTGGTATTTTATGAGATCGCAACTCGATTTAACATTATTCATTAGAAATGTGAAAGTCAAGTTATATTTGACCTGCGCATTTTGATAAATGTAAAACCGTTTTTTTTCTGTGTGACTTTTCTACTCGTTTCCGATTTTGTTGGAGGAAAATTGTGTGGAAAACTAGAATTGCTCGCCAGGCCGCATTTCATTGAAATCGAAGCGTGACTTTGGAGCGGGTGCCGTTTCACATGCTGATAAATATAAACAATTATTGTGCTGATAATTGACGCTCTCAGTTCTCCCATGGCATAACAATAGTTCTTCTCAACAACATAGAGAACAAGTGCGGGGAAGTCGAGGGAACGAAATGGGTGAACGACGCCAAAAGATTATGCAGATGCCCCCTGAAATACCTAATCAAAAGGGGCGCCATAAAAATAGGACTGATAATGCATTATTAATTATAAAATGCAGTCCACTTGACCTCAACCCACGCAATCCAAGGCCCACCTACCTGTCGTGAGTGTAGCGTTCTATTTTAACCGTCTTTTTTGGCCAGCTAATCAGCTGGTTGTATCAAACGCTCTGATAAGGGGCCCGCCGATAAAGGAACAGTTGTTTGATTATTTTACTTTGCCTTACGCTTCCCAAACAAATTGTGTTTTCGGCCATATAGACACTCTTCTTTAAAGTTTTAGTTCCACTGTGTTTAGATATGTATAATAAGGAAATCCTTTTAAGAATAGCAGACCAAAGATTTCATCAGTGGATACTTTTTTCTAAAAGGTCATAAACCCATTTTTCAAATTATTTTTTTTTTAATTTTTTACCGGTCTGGTTATAATTTAAATGCTTTGCATTTAGCTATTTATATGCCCGTTATTGTACTTGTCCATAAACGTATTTCAGGGTGATGACAATTATTAAAGGTCAATGTGTTAATTATTCGCTGTCTCATTCTCGTTTTGCTTCTTTTCTTGAATGCGTGTCTGACCTGTACGTTTACCAACAAAAAATAACTAACCATTTTTATCTTTTTTTGCAGCACGAGACAGCAAGGGCAGAGAAATGACTATTTGCCGGAAAATTCGGAGGAAAACGCCGAAAACCGTGGATCCAGATCGCAGCGCTCAAGCAGTTTATCGATGGCTGGGGGAGGGGAGGGTATCGCTTAGATTAGATTGTCCTATGGCAAATTAGCTTACTTCGTACATGGCGCATATATATGTGACCAAGCACACAAACACGCACATATGATATAGATACTGTATTATTTACTGTAGGGACATAAGTTTGATTACTCTTTATATACCCGTATATATACATAATTGTGATTTAAGCGATTTTATCAAATCTGCATAATGCGATTCTTTATAAAATTCGTCGTAGTCAGTAAGTGCAAACGAACCCTAAACAGAGAACATGCAATACTTATTGTAAATTACCAAAAACAAAAAAAATCAACACAAAAAGAAAAACGAAGGCGATAATTATAGCAAGTCGAAATGAGTGTAACAAGTGCCATTAGGACTAGAGCTAGCAGCAGCAAGCAACACATCAGCATCAGCAAAATTATCTCCACAATTTATGCATTTCCCATAGAGTACAGATATCAATGCAACAGATAACTAATTAGAAAGCTAGCCGGAGCATGTATATTAGCTGATATTCACAGTGTTAACGGGATTGAGGGAAAATTGTTTGATATTCCATTTTAATAAGTACAAACTTAAGACTAACCAAAGCGCCACAAAAGAACAGATTAAAATAGACTTCCTTGTTCCTTCCCCCAGAGATTTTGCCATACGCACAAAGAAAATTCTAGTACTAAACAGAACCCTATCACAATAGAGCTGTTATATAACTCGGTAATGTGTGTGTCAAAGCTAAAGTAAAATACCGATACAAAGAATATCCCTAGAGTATATGCATACACAAGTGGTAAACGTACACTAAACCAAGTCCCAACGGGAATGAAAAAAAAAAAAAATTGCTTAAGAGAATATCTTAAAACGGCACTAAACAACATCTTACCCTAAATAGACATACTTTCCTTTTTTTTTAGTTGAATATTTGATGCTATTTCCCACCACAAGATTTATTCAAAAAGTATAAATATAGCTAGTCGCCACTTTCTAAATATTTTACTGAAACACAACGAAGAAGGAACCAAAAGGGTGCATTCGAGGATTTTTAGCCAGCCGTCGTTAGATTTTTTTGACTGTTATATATACACTTACCGATAGCGATTATCTTTTACTTGCAATTCTGAAGTTAGTAGGCAATGGATTGCTGCTGCTGCAGATCGGTTCATAGTTAAATTTTATATACGAAACGAAATCCCAATTTTTGGCCTATAAATATGCATTAATAATTTTTAAAGAGCTTAACCATTAATTGAAAATTTACTTGATTTTCTTAGTTTAGTTTAAATGAGTATTAGGCAAGGCATCGAATGGAGAGTATTTTAGGGGCATTATAAATAGGTTTTGATAGCCTTTTTTGAAACCGAGACATACCCGACATTACATATTCGTAAACGCATTTAAGACGAACGCAAATATTGCAATTAATAACGTAAATGTAAATGAAACTTAAGTCTTCAAACCAAACAAAAAACAACAAAAAGTAGCATAATTTTTTATACGCAACTTTTATTGCAATTGTAAAGGGACGAATAGGAGAAAGAAGAAGCGGACATCAATTTTGATCAATTCGCAATTATATTAATATACACAAAAAGAATTGGCTCTATTTCAATTAAACTTAAATGTAGTAAAAATACAAAATGCATATTAATGTGCAAGGTCAACCAGACTTGCCAAAATAAAATAAACAGTATGATAAATAATACGGCGATATAGCTTTTAGAAGAGCAAAAAATAATAACGATACATTAGCGCATTAACTATCGCTTAAATTCAAAACACCCAATATATTTTATGTTTTATGTGCGCACGTTTAGTTTTGCTTGAAACCTAAGTCGTATTCGTATATTCTACTATTATTTAGATTTATTTTGCAATTTACCATTTAAGTCAACCTTATACACAGACCCAAAACAATTTAGTTCTCGTAGCCCCATCCACTTCGATCATTGAAGATGACCCCTCACAATTGTATGTATTTAGTTTACCTTGCACTGTAATTTTTATTTTGTGTTGTTAAATATATCGTTATTTACTTATTCGACCAAAGCATTCTGTTGAATACATTTATTTGTCAAGCCTGCTGTCAAACCAATAGCAAGAATTGATTGCATAGCTTGAATCTGGGTCACATTTACATTTTTACATTCTTCCACAAATGGATGTCATTAAACTAAACTGGGATTATTCTGCAATATTTATTTTGACATTGGTAAAATAAGCTTGCTTAATTATTCAAAAGATAACTTCAAACAAATTTAAAGTTTAAGGAAGAAGCTTTCTTTCCTTTCGAAAGAAGTGAAGAAATATCGGAAGTAAAACGAAGATTAAACTAATTGTCAGGCTACTTCTACAGGGGGCTGTACTATAGATCGCTTCTGAATGTTTTTCTTTACAGCCAAACATCCTCGCGATATTTTCCATGAGCCTTTAGTTCCATCAGCTGCCTCGAGGCCTCTTCCTCAGTGAGATGTAGAACTTTCTGCAGGCACAGACATAAACCATTGGCAATAGACTGCGAAATCTTGGCGCCATCGGCACATACGTATATCACAGTGTCATGTTTTAATAAAAACTTGACTAGATCCTCGCTATCCTCCGCCATCATTTCTTGCACGTAGCCAGGGGAATCTCCTCGTGAATGGCACATGCGTAGTCGCTCCAAAACCGTTGATTTTTGCCAGGCTTTAAGTTGGTCCCGCTTAAGAATAGCTTCTGGTGTCTTGGCACCAATGTAAAGCCAGGAATGTCCTTTTTCCCGCTGTGGCTGTTGGCTTATAAGCTTTTCTTTGTGAGCCAGAAAGCCGAGAAATGGTGCCAGACCAGTACCCACTGCTATGAGGATTTGGTTGCTGCCCAGATCCTGCTCTGTGTAGCGAAATGCGTTGTTAAGTCGGGGGTAAATAACCACATTAGCGGGCTGCTGCGTATTGATTTGTTTGACAAGCTCCTCCAGCATGCGGGTTGTGACCCCTGGCTTGTGGTTGAGCAGGGAGTAGATAATGCGGAGCTCCTGGCCGCCGGTTTCCAAAGGACTATTGGCTATGGAATAGGGTCGTGGCAGCAGACGTGGCAAGTGCTCTGCCAAGAAGCACAGCGGTGGCCTGCAGTTTTCGCAAAGGTCTAGGATTTCCATGAAGACAAGACCCTTCTCCAGGATAAGGGAATTGTAGTGCTCTGTAGCCTGTTTGGAGGAGAGACAGGCAAGGAAGCCGCGCTCCTGTTCGTTGCTTGTAAATCCGGACAGGGCACTGAGGAGCTGCTTCTGAGGAACGAAGTTAAGAGACAGGCAGTGGGTGAGGATCTCTCGAGGACTTGTCGCTGAAGGAATGTGGGCGGGTAACTTGGCGGTCTTCTTAGCGCAGTTCAGCGACAGCTTCAAATGGCAAGTGGTGTCCGCTTGTTCACTTAGTTGTAACCGGTGGAGCAACCTTTCCACAATTTCCGAATTATTACTGGGCACAACGCCTATGGTGTCCCCGGGTTGGTAACCAAAAGACGACTCCAGGGTCAACTCCACCACGCGTTTCGTCTCCGTTTCCTTATCTGCACCCACGAGCACCTTACTTCCCTTTATCACCACTGACCTCGGCTTGGAATCGGTTCGGGCGAATGGGAACTTCAAAACCTCGCCACATCTTAACTGAGCACTTGCATCAATTTGTGTCTGCAAATTGGGTGTTTATAAACTTATAAACCAGTTGCACCGGACTTACATGTTCTTCTCCGGTAAAGCACAGCTCCAGATTACCGACCAGCGGTTTGGCGGGAATATATTCACTCAGAATATAAGCTCCAATGCTCATTTTATTAGGATTCAGTAATTCGCATGTCTACAAGAGTGACAGCAGAGAGAGAGCCCCAAAACTGCAGTGTTGGGAAATGCTCTTATCTGTTGTACCTAAATAAAGTACAAGAAAGCTTAGAAACAAACATTTTTCCGTTACCTAGGTAAGTAAAGTCACGAACAATTTTTTTCTTTGAAAATACAAATTAGAGTTAAAAAATTGCTTAAACGAAGTTTAAAAAACAGTTTTTAACCATTTCTTGACAAAAAGCTGTGGCTTACTTATATTTCATATATTAGGCTTTATTTACCAAAAATACGTAGATTTTATTTTAAATAATTGTTGGAAAAAATTCTTAGTACCCGTATATTTGGGACTAAGTGAAAGTTTTTGAATGGATAATTTAAAAGGAAGTATGAACCAAAAATTGTACCTAGATAGACAATGGTGTTTTCCAGCACTGCATCGCTAAAAATATACTAACACATACCAACGGGGGGCTATCATCAATAAGCAGTGTTATCGACAGCATGAGGAGCACTATTTGTTGCTGCACAACAAACTAAAATCTCCAGTGACCCGTTAGGATTAATTACCAACAGGATGGCAGACAACGCCAACAGTGACGACGAATTCCAAGACGCGATCGGCGAGGAGATCACCGAGAAGGAGGCAACCAGCACGCGGCTGAGCGAGAAGGATGTGGACGAAATCGTGGAGAAGCAGAGCCAACTGGCACTGGATGACGAAGCGGAGCAGGGTGCGGCTGGCGGGGATTGCTTAGTGACACCGCCGAGCGTGGACTCAGAACTGTCCATCGAGGAGCTGCGCGAACGGGAAAAGAATTTAAGCCCCGAGCAGCTGACGGCGAACAAGGAAAAGGCTGACAAACTGAAGCTGGACGGCAACGAGCTTTTTAAGAACGACGATCCCGAAGGCGCCGCCAGGACCTACACAGAAGCCCTGGACATCTGCCCCTCAGACAGCACCAAGGAGCGAGCTGTGCTCTATGGGAACAGGGCAGCTGCCAAGATAAAGCTGGAGGCCAACAAAGCGGCCATCGACGACTGCACAAAGGCCATAGAACTGTGGCCGGAGTATGTGAGAGTGCTGCTAAGGTGAGCTTAGCTATAACCGCATTGCAGCTTTTTCTCCTAAAACATTAAATTCTTATTATAGGCGCGCCAAGCTCTACGAGCAGGTCGACAAACCCGATGAGGCTTTGGAGGACTATAAAAAAGTGGCTGAAATCGATCCCGGGCAGCAGGAGGCACGAGAGGCTCAGATTCGTCTTCCGCCTATTATTAACGAGCGAAACGAAAAACTCAAGACCGAGATGATGTCCAGCTTGAAGGATTTGGGCAATATGATACTCAAACCCTTCGGCCTGTCCACACAGAATTTCCAAATGCAACAAGATCCCAACACGGGCTCGTATTCCATAAACTTTAACCAAAAACCAAGCTAGTTGAAAGTCAACCCGAATAAAAAATAAAGCTGTTTTCGAGGATGATGTAGAAAATAGCAGTTTAGCCGTAGAAAGTCGTGACCAAGTCACCATACATTTTACACATATTTCAATAGAAAGATACGCATTTTAATCACAATCAGGTTACTACAAATTTGCGCCTAAGATCACCTGATAATATATAATTTTTCTCAGATTTTTGCTTTCATTATTTTACAATGTGCATGTTGTGATATGCAGTAATGTATTAGGTTCCTTTCGGACTTAAACCTGTCTTAATTATTAAATGTTATGGATAATTAAAAGTAGTTTTTTAATTAACATTTCAAGAATTGTTGATAAGTCGTGACCAAGTTTCAGTTCTCGTGCTGTCACAATAATCGCAACATTTCTCATCTCTCTTACTCCGATACCGATAACGATTTACTTGCGTCAAAGCAACAGCTGACTGTGACACTTGTGTTCCCTGCTAGAAGAAGAGCAATTTGTTGGAAAAATCGCAATTTGCCAATTACAAAATTATACTCTTGCAATCGCAGGCATCTTTTGCCCCCGTTTTGTGGGCCAACTCAGTGGCGTGACCGTAAGCAGTGGTGCATGCAAAGATCCGAGGGAACAGAGCCCCGGCAATCCACTGCAACCTGATATGAGATCACCCAGGCGGAGCGTACCCAGTTGATTCCAGCTCAGAAGCCAGCATGTTCCGGAGTCGCAGCTGGTTTGGCGGACCCTGGGGAGGGCGCCCCAAGAACCGCCTTTCGCTGGAGCACCTCAAGTACCTGTACAGCATCCTGGAGAAGAACACCACCGTGTCGGAAAGCAACCGCGGCCTGCTGGTGGAGTCTCTGCGCTGCATCGCAGAGATCCTGATTTGGGGCGACCAGCATGACTCTTTGGTGTTTGAGTGAGTTGCGGAAACATATTTACTTTGTTCCGTAACACAAGATAACTCTATCTCTTCAGCTTCTTTCTGGAAAAGAATATGCTCTCCTACTTTCTGCACATCATGCGGCAGAAGAGCGGCGGCTCCAGCTTCGTGTGCGTCCAGCTGCTGCAAACACTCAACATTCTCTTCGAGAACATACGCAATGAGACATCTCTGTGTTAGTCATATATCGTCATTTGTTTGCCCTACGTACTAAATTGATTTGCCTTGTTCTAGATTATTTGCTGAGCAATAACCATGTTAATTCCATAATGGTGCACAAGTTCGACTTCTCCGACGAGGATGTGATGGGCTACTACATCCTTTTCCTGAAGACGCTCAGTCTAAAGCTGAACACTCATACGATCCACTTTTTCTACAATGAAGTCTGAATTATATAAATCTGTCGTTGAACAGCAATTAATGTGATTTTTCCCTTTGTAGCACACAAATGATTTTCCCTTGTACACGGAGGCAATCAAGTTCTTCAACCATCCTGAGTCTATGGTGAGGATAGCTGTGCGTACCATTTCCTTAAATGTCTACAAGGTTCAAAACTCCAGCATGCTACGTTTTATCCGAGACAAGTATGACCTCTATCTATAGTCCTGTTTGACCTCTTTAAAACCACCAATTTTACTCCCAGAACGGCTGCTCCGTATTTTAGTAATCTGGTCTGGTTCATTGGCAAACACATTCTGGAACTAGATACTTGTGTGCGCACAGATATAGAGTAAGAGTTCATCTAGTAAACCAATCAATAAGCTTACTTACTCTTTTTTTTTCCCCCCGCAGCCACCAGTCAAATCAGAAGCTGTCCAATTTAGTGGCTGAGCATCTCGATCACTTGCATTATTTGAGCGATATTCTTTTGCTTGACATCAAGGATCTTAACGCAGTGCTCACTGAGCACTTGCTGCATAAGCTCTTTGTGCCCTTGTATATATTCTCACTGACGCCAGCGCCGCCCCCGCCCTCGCTGGCGGTAGTAACCCAAAATTTAGCTGCCGTGCTCAATCGTAACGTTGACATCGATATCCAGGAGATGCACAATCCACGAGTGAGTTCCATTGTGGCGCTTTTCTTGCTCTCACTGGTCTTCCTGGTGGTCTCACACGCCCCTCTGGTGCATGCTCTGGCATGGGTTATTCTCAATGGCGACCACAGCGTCTTCAAAGAGGGTGCAGCCGAGATCCTAAATTCTTACGTAGAACACCGCGAGGTTGTTGTGCCAGGTTTCGGAGAGCCCAACGAGAGTCTCGAACAGGCCCTTGACACGGTCACCGGCCAGTCCAGCGCCGCGAGCTATGCCCTCAGCGAGGACAGTGGCGTGGAGTCTTCGTCTCCAGCCGCTACGGAACTGGACTCTCAGGCTGATGCTGTGGAGGATGAGCAGACAAAGCTGCGCAATATAACTGATGAGGAAAAGCAGCTGCTTCAGAAGTCATCTTCTTCGGCTAAGTCAGACTTTGGGGAGGTGGCCAAACCGTTTTTAGACACTGTGCTGCATGCTTTGGACTGCACCGAGAACGATTACCTCGCCTTGTTGTCGCTGTGTCTCATTTATGCCATGTCTCACAATCGTGGTAAGAAATTATGCGGTTTCTTTGTTCTTTAAGCCGTCGCTCTGTTTTTGAGCTAATGCTGTGTAACTTTCCATTCTTCTGATCACCCCATTTGTGCTTCATTTTAATTGCTTTCTATGTGTGTAATGAATATGTCACATTCTGGTACCTGTCCCACTCCGTCCAGATGGTATGTAACACCTTCACTTTCCGTACTAATCTACATTCAACTCCCAGTTTCATTGGTTAAACAAATTTATTTTTAATCCTTCTCCAAAAGGCATCAAGAACGAGTGGTTTGAACAGGTTTTGGCCAAGTCAACTCGTGGCCCCTTCAGCTACAAGACAGCCATTATTGAGCATCTGCTAAATATAATCACACAGTCCAGTCAGCCATGTAAGTATAAAAAGTCTTTTTACTAAGACAAACAATCATAAAAGTGTCCGTGGTTCTCCATGCCTAACTAACATCCCCTGTGCTTTTAGCGTCTCGCATTCGCTTAATTACCGTTGAGATTGCCCTGGAGTTGCTGGTTACATTCACCCGTCCCAGCTCGGATGAGACACGCTGCATCACCGTCGCCCAGCAGGATCTACTCTTCAGCGCCCGCAACCAGTCAATGGCGGTACTGCGGAACTTTTACAAGTCGGAGGACATATTCCTTGACCTTTTTGAGGACGAGTACAATGAGATGCGAAAGGCGCAACTAAACGTGGAGTTTCTGTGCATGGACTCCACCATCCTACTGCCTCCCACGGGTACGCCCCTCACGGGAATTAACTTCACACGCCGTCTGCCCTGCGGGGAGGTGGAAAAGGCCCGCCGAGCCATCCGCGTGTACTTCCTGCTGCGTCGCACGTGCCAAAAGTTTCTGAATGAGAAGGAATCACTGCTGCCGCTGACGAATGTCGTCAATCTGGTGCAGGTGGAGAACGTGTTAGATCTGAGTGAGTATTCGCTTTTGGCAAACCACCGTGGAGGGACTAATTTTAATTGATTCCTACAGACAATAGTGACCTGATTGCCTGCACCGTGGTGGCCAAGGACAGCAGCAAGCAAAGACGTTTTTTGGTCATTGACGCGCTTCAGTTGATCCTCGTGGAGCCGGATGCCAAGCTTCTGGGCTGGGGCGTAGCCAAGTTCGTTGGCTTTTTGCAGGACGTCGAGGTGCAGGGTGATAAGGACGACTCGCGCTGCCTTCACATCACCGTGCACCGCGGCGGAGTCACTCACAACCGCACTCCGTTGCTCTCGGCCAAGTTCCTGTTCGACGATCACATCCGATGCATGGCCGCTAAACAGCGCCTAACCAAGGGACGCAGCAAGGCGCGACAAAAGAAGATGTACCAGATCGCGCAGCTTATAGAGATTCCTGGACAGATGGACTCGCCCGTATTCGCGGTGGGCGGCACCATGGCGACGTCTAGTGGCGGAGGAAGCGGCAACAGCAGTGGCAGCAGCTCGCGGAGCAGCCACCATCGTCCAATGTTTACGGCCAATCGGGTTCCTGGATTTGCGGCCGTGCTGCGTGGAAATAACAGTGCCGGAGTCAGTCGCACCCAGATGGCCCAGAACCGCTCCATCGAGGGGTAAGCCCAAATTGATCTTTCCCCATGCTTCCCATCCCCATCCTCATTTGTGCGTCTTTCTGCAGCATTAGGAATGAAAGCGCAGGCCGCTCCCGACGCCGCAGTCCCAGCTCAACTTCTGGCTCGAATCTGAGGGTAGATCACTCGGATCGGGAGCGATCGCCCAGTGTCAGTGTGGGCAGCCACAGCTCCTCGCAGTCGCGAGAGAACTCCCAACCCAGAAGTTCCGGTAACCGATCGCGTGAAAACAGTCCTAGGATGCCCAGGCCGCGGTAACGAATCAGTCATAATAAGCAGTTTTATTTCCTTGGAATGGTTGTTATAATTGAGATTTAAAAAATTTTTAAGCCAGGGTTGTAGTGTCTTCAACAATTGTGCACGTTAAATTTGACTATTTCGATTAGCAAACCAAAAAGTCCCATTTATTTTGATGTTTCTTTGTTACTTTCCAAATTTGGATGTTTATAAAAAAAGTAAAGTTAACTCATTTTTTTTCCAATTACATATATACTTAACATGTATTGTAAGATTTACCTAGTTTGATTATACTTCCATTTTGTATAAATTCATATGGAAATATCTTTAAAAATCTTTATATATTTTTATTATCTCTTGTAAATAATAAACTCCAAATGGGCATGTATTTATTCTGTGGGAATCAATTTTATCTTTTACGTTTTGAGAATATCTATAAACATTTTATTTTGACAAATTATTACATCTACAGATACCGTTATAATCGTTTTGTCTTGTTTCGATTTGTCATATAACAAATTCACTTTTAATTGCATGCCACTAATCAGCATTAATTAATTATTCGTAGTGAAAAAAGTGTATAACAATTGTTTTGTATTTTAGTTCGGAGGAGATTCCTCTGGAGGATTTCCAGCACTCGCGCAACAACAGTCCTCACTCGCGTGGCAACCCCTCGCCCGCCTCCCGCTCTCACACGCCTATCCGGGTGCTTCACTACGATCAGATATCAGTGCACAGCGGATCCCCCCGAGAAGCGACTTTGGTGGGCACCAACGCCCTGCTGAGCCAGTTAAACGGCCTGGCCCGAGAAGTGATTCCAGTGCAGAGCTCTGAGGAGACATCGTTTATAGGCAGCGACGGGAACGACTCCACAGGCGGCCCGGAAGGCAGACGACGGGGAGCTATTGAGACGGTCTAATTTAGATTAGAAATTTTAGTATTACACGAGAAGAGCCTTAAGCTTAGATTGTTGCTGACATTTTGTTATTCCAATTGACTAATATGGTGGTACATACTAAAATTGCTTTTCATTTTAAATAAAAGTTAATTTATCGAATTTGAATCTAAGTGATGCATATGTTTTTCCCTTGTATACTCTGAATTGAAAATTCAAATAATCCATTTTTTCTTCTCCACTAAGAATAGTTCTTATTAAAGGGCACATCGTTTTCTTACAACCCTAAAAAGTTATCTTTTTTGAGAAAGTTTATAATTTAAACTTAAAAAATTGGTTTTTCACTAAAGAAATTTATTTTCCGAATTGAATTATTCTACATGGTCAAAAGCAGTGGGTAAATACATGTTATTTAATCATCAAAACAAAGATAAGTTAAAAATTGTTCTTAAAATATTAAAAATAATATTCGAAACTATTTCAAGCACATAACGGCCATAATATATGTTTAAAATTTTAAGAATGCCCTAATGACTTCTTTCACTGTGAATGGCAACTAAATCTGGTAATCAGCTGTCGCTTGTTTTGGTTTTGTGACATAACCGCAATTTACTAAAAGCTGAACTTCAAAAATTAATTAATGAAAACCAACGTACACTTATAATAAGACATGTCCCACAAATACACGGAGCTGATTAAGCTCGGCACACAGTATGCCCGACGCATGAACTACCTCTCAAATCGCATTTTTGGCGAAGTTGCGCGCACCACTAACGAAAAGTCAATGAAGGTCTGTTTTTCACTTTAATTTATTAAGTTATTACTAGTTCCTAGTTTTTCGTTTACTAGGTAGTACGCATGTTCTCCGAGGAACCGATTCACAAGCGGGACTACGTGGTCAACTGGTATCCGCGCCACGTGGAGACCCACTTGCTGATGAAGAACCTTCGCGACTATGGTTTGTTCCGCGATGAGCACCAGGATTTCAAGGACGAGATGAAGCGACTGCGCAAGCTGCGTGGAAAGGCGGCGCCCAAGAAGGGCGAGGGCAAGCGTGCCTCCAAGAAATAGTACCATAAATATAAAAAACACATTTTTATTGAACAAAATCTAGTCTGTTTAGCTGCGGGTCAGTAACTTGGCACTGCCGGCGAAGACCACCTCGTCGTTCTGCCGGATGTCGTACTCCACGGTGGAGATTTTACGAGCCTGAAGTAGACGCACAGTGACCAAAGTGTCCGTCTCAATGCGACAAGGTTTAAGAAATTTAAAGCTCTGCTCTAGAACAACGGTGCCAGGTCCTGGCAACTGAGTTCCCATAATGCCCGCCACCACCGCGTTGAGAAGGGCTCCGTGCACGCGTCGCTTCTCCACTGGTGTGTCCAGACCGTGGATATAGTTGTGGTCGCCAGTAAACCGGGCGAACTGCTCCAAATCGCTCTGCGAAAAGCGCTTAACCACTTGAACCTGCTGAGGTGGTCGGCTGCTCAGCTGCCGGCAAAGTAGGCGGAGCATTCTGCAATTCGACAACCTCAGTGCGTGTGGCGAAATCCTGCAGGAGCAATTGACAGAGTTTAACGATGCGCTGATCGTGGGCCTTTATCCGCCACTCCTGTACCGTTCTCAGCAGTGAAGGGCTTAGAAGCAAATCCCTGTCAACGTCACCGGATTCCAGTAGTTGGTAGAACAGTGCAAGGCTGTGGAACACTATTTCCGGGTGATCTGTTCGCACAAACAGGTCGGTGATGGGCTTTAGTTGCTCCCTGATGAATTTGACTGCAGTTTTGTCTTCAAATATATTACAACATATTTAATAGTGTCCTAAAAATATTTGTTTTCCGTACCAAAGCAAATGTTACACAATGCAGCGATTCCGTGCAGTTTTAGAGGCTGATCTTGGGATTCCAGCGATGCCAGGAAGACATCCAGAGCGTCCGTTTCCAACAGATGTGGCCAGTTGATGGGATCATAGGCAAAGTTGGCCAAGTTCGCAGTCACCTGCTCCTGAGCCTCTATAATCGCAAGTTCAAAGTGAGTTTAGGGGCAACTAATTACAAATAGCCAGCTTACCGACGTTTGTCGTTGTGTAATACTCATCGACTAGGTGACCTATGTACTCCCGGCGATCTATGCCCTTGGCAGGAGTCCTCCGCTTCAGAGTCTTGTGGCTGGAGAACATATAAATTAATCAGATGCAACGCCGTGACTTCGAATGAGTGCCATTCACAATGAAAGCTCCTGCATAAACGTTCACACGTAAACGTAGACATTTAATTCAAAACAAATATCCACAGGTTTTTGATCCAAAAAATGTATTTAGAAAAAGTTAAATATTCTTTGGTATCTTAAGTCGGAAAATTTACTGGAAAATTTCAGATTTATTTTTCCATACATTAAGTAAAGAAATATTTGTTTAATATTTTCATTGCACTTACTTTATAATTGCTGAAAAAATATTTTTATTTTAAAATAGTGCAGAAAGGTTGTATATTTTAATCAATTCCTCTTTCAATATACATACATAAATGTTTAGAAGCGAAAAATACTATAATTCAAAGATAATTTTATTAAAGCAAATTTAGTTTTTTTAAGGTAAACCACCATCCAAAAAAAGCTCCCCATATAGGCTCGTACTCCTATCCTGAAGCTTTAACTGTCCTTGTCAGGACTCTCACTGCCCGAGAACTCTGTATCATTGGAATTGCTGAAGTGGCTCCTGGCAGCTGCAACGGACTTCGGTGGGACGTTGAACAGTGGGTGGGTGGGCAGTAGCTCATTAATAGTGTCGCCCAGGACCTGGGGGCTGTTGGCGCACTCCGAGTGTTGGGCGATGGAAACTCCACTTAGCGTATAGCACGTGTGGTAGAGATCTTGTGGTCTGAAAATATAATGTTTTTGATACTATACGAAATCAGCAAAATGGTGTAAGTCCCTCACTTGCCGGGTTTGTCGATAAGCCCACCGTTCTGCTTCTGGCAGCACAGCAGAATGTACTCCTGCAGGGCCTCCACATCGAAAAGTGTGTGCTCCATTTGTTTATCAACGCCGGATAGCGTGGCCTGTGTGATGGGAATGGTGGCGCCCACCCAGAAGGAGTAGCAGCCGTCCACAAGCTTGTTGGTCCGCCCCTGAAAGCCGCCCTCATAGGTCATTTGCCGGCGCAGCGTCCACTTGAGCAGAGCCTGTCTGTCGCACTTGTCCGCCTCGTTGAGCAGCGCCAACCCGGCAATCCCGCAGAATGTGTACCCACCATGGGCCTCCAGATCAGGGGCGCCGCCAAATCCTCCCTCGTATGTCTGACACTGGGCTATCCAATCGCCGGTGCCCGCAAACAGTTCCTTTAGCACCGGCTCGGGAAGATTCAGCAGCTTGGCGCAGGAGATGGCGCAGTAAGCGCCGCGCACGTCCGTCTCCCCATCCACATGCAGGCGGAAGGATCCGTCCGATTCGCGCACGCTGAAAAGGAACTGCACCAAAGTTGGGCGGTCGATGGCGCGGTAAGCCTGCTCAGTGCCGATGATGCACAGGCTGTTGACAGCCGCATAGGTGGGCGCCAGGTGGGCATATTGACCAGGTCCTCCTCCAAAGCCACCCGTTGGCGTTCGGCAGCTGTGTGGATGAGAAAAATGTATAGCTTACTCACTTCTAGCATTAGAATATATTTCGAAGACACACTTTCTAAGGAATTGCACCACATGGTCTAGCGTCTGGTCGTCGAAGTTAAAGCTGAGCAACTGTGCCGCCTGCAGGATCCAGTAGACGCACCACGGTCGACTGCTGTCCAGGCACTCGTAGTTGGAGGGCAGTCGCCTCAGCATCGCATCTAGGTAGTACTGGTGCTCGAGGCGGAAGACCTGGGTAAGGCGCGGGTGGGTAAACATCAGCTGCTCGAATCGATCGAAGCATTTCTCCACCGAACTCTCCGTCTTTTGCTGCAATACTCATTGGTTCTTAATCTGACCGACTTTTTTCTGGGATTACTCACCTGCTCCCGGGACGTGGTCGTGGACACCTTCTCGTCGTCGAACATATAGCTTTTAAGGCGCTGGAAGTTGCGGAACAGCAGTTCCTCCTCGGGTCCCATTTTGGCGCTGGTTAATGTGGTTGATGAAATTAATATTAAATATAATAAACAAAAACTGTTCGCCGAGTGGGAATTTTACTAAAGTAGTGCTGCGAAAGCCCGCTTTACAACACTGTTTTTTGTTTAATTAGGGTATTCCCTAAAAATATAAATTCATATTCGTTGAAGTCGTTATTTTTTAAATGTATTTAATTTGTAAAAAAAACACATTATTATAGACCAATATATATACGTTATTATATACAAATAACTTAGTTTCTTGAAAGATATAATATAAAATTTTTGTTGCTTAAGTATGTTTATTTTTTAACAAATATAGGCATTTTTAGCTATTTTTTATTTCTGAAGCATACGTTTTTTTTTGTAATGGGCATTCTATGTAGGTATTTTTTTGAAATTTGTAAAAATACGTTTGGGTATAAAAACACCAATTTATATTTTAGTCTGTATAAAACTATGATTAAATTCACATTTAAAATTCGTTATACTCAGTTAACGTTGGGACATCAGACTCTCTGTGGTGACAAGAATAAATGTGCTAGTTTGAGAACTGGAATCGCCCATCAAAGTTTCGGCGGCCTCGTCAGAAGTCCAAAAGGTATAAACTTCCATGAAGCCGTAGACAGCGAGGCACACCAGGAAATAGGTCGTCAGAGTGGCAAAAATCTGAAACAGAATTAGCAGTAAGATCTGAAACAACCGCGAAATATAAATTTACACTGTTTTGGGCACCGACATTAGAAACTCACAATGGCGATCCCTTTTAGGATCAGCAACAGCCAACCGCTGCAATCGAGTTTACTAATCCAGTGTATGAGGGGCGGCGATCCTGATGGGGCAGTTTGGGGTATTGGATCGCCTCCGGCACTGAATCCACCACCTTCACCCCAGTTATCGTCCCTCAGTGGCAGATACCAATCGTAATAGAGCTGTGTTAGCAGCGGCACCTCGAAGGGTGACTTTTTCTTAAGCTTCTTCTCAGTTACAGTGTCTTCTAGGGACTGAGCATCTTTTAAGTGCTGAAAGCAATCATTGAAATCAGCCAGGGTAAGTTTTCGGGACTTATCACAATCCTCCGACATTATGGGATTGGACAAGTGAGGCTCTAAGTCATCAAGTAGTCTGCTCTTTTTCCTGAGAGGATATGCCGGACCCTCATTCGGTTCTTCCTGCTGTTTGAAATTTGATATAAATAATCAGTCTTTCTATAATTTTATTAGTATTGCTATAATATACCTATATTATAAAAACCTGATCCATTGATTGCAAATAATATTTAACAGCTGCTTTTAGTCATTAAACCAATGACTAAATTTAAAAGCATCTATGTGAAACCCATACAACAAATTGGAGATATTAAATTTTAAAGAGATTAGTTTTTTACATATTGGTAGTACTAAAAACGAAATAATTATGTAAACAAAAAATTGAATGGAACACTCAAATTGAGCAACCCATAGGCCCCGGCGAGATTCGAACTCACGATCTCCTGTTTACTAGACAGGCGCTTTAACCAACTAAGCCACGGCGCCATTTGCCTCCTCTATAACAAAACATACATATGATAACACTGCTTCTATTAAACTGCCTTATCGATATGTAGGTAAGCAGTGTATATGTAGTTTCACGCTAAAAATTCCAGATGGCGCTTGTGCAGTGTGACCAGCTTGGGGTTGTTCAGCTATTTGAGTGTTTCCTGGCACTACAAGACTGGTTATACTTTCTGGGCGCCTTTATTCAAGTTTGCATTATTGTTTATAGTTTTTGTAATTAAGCATTTAGTTTATTGTGCAGACTTGTTATCGGCTACAAAATATATCCAAAATCCGTTCTGCTTTTCATACATCGAATGAAACAATTTACCCAAACTAATTAAACAACAATTAAGCGCATTGTTAAAGTAAGCCGCAATGTAAAGACTACATTAAGCTTAAAACTAATATACAAGTAAAAAATGCAACTTACCGGTAGAGACCGAAGTTCCAAAAAATTCGAATCGAACTTGCCTTGCTTGATCAGTTCGAGTTCGTCCTCCGACACAAAGTTGCCTGTATCGGCCTCGATGGCCTCGTTGCTGAAAATGTCGTAGTATTCCCCAGGATTCGAGCACTCGGATACCCGTTCGCACCGATCTGTTTCCACGTTGAAGAAGCTGCGCTGCCCGAAGTATCGCTCCTCGCAATTCAGCGGTGTGCAGTTGCGCAGGTAGTCCTTGTCCCAGTTGCGGCAGTCCTTGAAGTCCTTTCGCCTGCGCAGTTTGTTGCTTTGCGGATCGAGGGTCTCGAAGCGGGTGTCAAAGTGCAGCACTTGCCTGGCGGTTGCCACCGCATCCTGGGCGTGGGCACACGTGGCGGAGATCAAAATGGGGCAAGTGCCCACCCGATTGTACAGAGACTGTGCAAATCCAAAGATTGAAATAGGTTTTTAGTTTAAATAGTCATAATATATACAGAACAACGAAGCTAATAAAAACAATTAGCAAGTTAGTTCAAAAATATAATACACATTTTGCGGTATTTTCTCGATCGAGTTGGATTTTAAAACATGGAAATAAATTATTTATTTATTTAAACCAAATGATCAATCGTTCAAATACCTAATATTCAATGGAAAAGGATCGACAGCTGTCAGATGCTATTTAAAATCTGTAGAATAAATATAATTGGACTAACCACCGTTGGCCACACCAGGGAAACAGTTTCACTCTTTCCTGGTTCGACGGACCCAAAGTCGCCGCCAAAGATCCGTCCCATCGAGTGCACCTGCTCTCCACTGGTGGTGTTCACAGTGCATTGCCCGTTGGAGACGACCGTGAAATCCAGTGTTTCCCTCTTGCCACTTCTGATGCGGTTGGTGACGGTCAGATCTGTTGGGGTTGGTCAAACAGGAGGATCGTTTTAGATCGAACTTGGGCCTCACCAAAAATCAAACCAATGTCCTTATCCCGGGGCACCCGCACTATAACCTTTGTGGCGCACAGGCTTCCGTCGGTGCTGCGTCTGCTGAATAAAATGAAGCAAACCAACAGGTATTGTAACATTTTCTGACTGAATTTGCCTGGCTATATTACCCCATGTTGCCTTTTGACCATCTTTATCAATTTCCCTTGATCTACTAGATTTTAGAATATCGCTAGGGCCGACATAATATATTCTTCTAACGCCAGCTCAATTGAATGAACCAATCAGCTTAGCTCTTAACAATTAATGCAAAAAACTTAATAATTCTTAAGATTCTAATAGAAATATCCAACGAGACTTGTTTTTTTTAGTTATTTCATCCCTACCATCCTTTACACATCATACTCATCTGTCAAAATGTATTTGCTCAAAAGTTTTCATAAGAACTAACTTTCACAATTTTTTAGACAGCCCGATACATTTTATGCCCAGGATCAGTTGGTAATTCCTTAGGTTAGCTCGTTTCCCCATATAAAATTCTTTGAATACTGCAACCCCTTGCGTGTCCCTCTTTACTTACTTTTGCAAAGGGGCTCGTCAGGATGGGGATCCTTAATGGGTTGTTGTTTAATTAAGTGTAATTTTAGTGGCTGGCAACCCCTAAGACGGGTCCTGTCCAGTGGCCACGTGGCTTGCATCGTCCTGGGCTTGTAGTCGCTGTATCCATTGCCACGTTTACTGCATCCATTGCAATTTATGTTTTAATCATCAAATGCGACCCAATTAATCAACGTTGCTGGCCTTAATTTATGCGGCGGAACAATGTTTTGAAGTAACCCGACGCGACATCGCACGACAGGTGACATTTTGCGGCGGGGATGGGGATAAGGAGCGCTGAATGCAATGCATATTCATAGCGGCTGAGTCGTAATTTATGCCGAAACTCAAAACTAATTTGACAGGAAATAATTAATTTGGCATCGAAAGAGCCCAAAATAAAAGTGCTGCCAGCCAGTGCCAATTAAAATTATTTCGCTTTCATTACCCAATGGAGCAGCCGTAATAAAAGTCTTACCAGAAACCCAAAAAAACAGAAAGAAATAAGCCCCAACCACACAGCACATCCAATCCCAATCCCAATCCCAGAGACAAAGACAGCGAAATAAAAGGCGAAAACTAAGCAAACAAAAAAAGTTTAAATAATGAAATCACTTCGCACCATCTCGAAATTGCTCATTAACATTTTGTGTTTGCGATATCAACTTGTGAAAATCACAGGGCCCAGCAGACTCCGTTGTGGCTGGAGTCCGGACTCCAGGCCGGGCCAAAACAGACCAGGCCCGACCAGATCAGGCCCGACCAGGCCCAAATGCAACCCAGACTCCGAGGCAGCAGCAGCTACTTGGCTTTTATTTATTATGCCATGTTGTTGTTGTCGCCGCTGAGGTGTTGCAGTTGCTGTTTTGCGAAGCTGACTCTTATTAGTTGGGTCAGTCCGTCTTGCTTTTTCCAGCCTTCTCGCTGTGGAGGAGGTGTGAAATCTGTAGCCCTCCCCGCTGCACTGCCCCCCTCCGCTGAATGTCCTCGCTGGCCGGCTGGTTTCGTCTGCGGGTCGTGATTTGTCTGCAAAAGACACAAACAACTCTCGGACCTCTGCAATTTTTCCAAAGGTCGTTTGCTTTACCTTTACATTTGCCTTTACTCAATGAAATTGGCTCTGCTCCCAAAGACACACAGGGAAAAAATCAAAGGGGCACTAAACTGCAGTAATAGCTTATCAAGCTAATTAGTAAAAAATAATTTGTATATTTAAAAAATAATATCAAACTATATAATACCCAAATCTTAGCTTTTGTCAAACCAACAATTTATTTTTATCTCAAAAGGATTTAATCTTTGTTTTAAAATGGAATCTAATATTTCTCTCTGCGTTGTATCGTTATTATATCGATCTATACAGCTCTTTAAAATTACTAGTTATATATGTATTTCGCTTGCATGTAGTATTAACAAAAGTGACAGATCTAAAAATCTAATTTTGGTATGTTCTAGAATCGAACTACTGACGTATTTGAAACTAGGTTTCGTCACTAAAAAATATAGCTAAAACACTCAGAGTTTAAGTCGATTAAGCTTTCTTTCTAGACCGACTAGCTAATTTCGTCCTGTGTTGTTCTTTTAATATCGTTTTGATACTTTAGAACAATAAATTAATATGAATCTCATTAAGGCATATTTCATGCTCAATAGTTTTAAATGAATGTTACAACAGTTTTATTACCATGACTATTTTTTGTTTGGTGGTATAAGTTTCAATCTGTGAAAATAAAAGTCTTGGGTGATTTGGTGGCCGTTAAAAAATTGTTAAGATAACAGTAAGCCTTTCAAAAGAATAATTGTGCAAACTATTGATATACCTCATTCTCATCTCAGTCTAACATGGCGTATACTTTATTTTTCTATCATGGGCAATAATTAGTGTCAGAACTTTTCTCCGGGTGCATCACACATCCCAGCAGCGAGAACTCCAGTCAAAGTCAGAGATAAGACGACTGGCTGACTGGTCGACTGGGTGTATTTCAGTAGCCATTCGATTTATGTTAAATAAGCTGAACGCAAGCTCTGTTTGTTGTAAAATACCAATTGCCAGGCTCATCCGCGCTGAGGGACAGAGACGGAGACAGATGGAGTGTGAGTGGGAGAGAGATTCCTCTGTGATTCACGTTTCTGCATCATTCCATTCGTTTTCTTATTCCAAGTGTCGTTGTCGCTGCTGCTGGTGTTTTTGTTTTTGTTTTTGTTGGTGATGGTGTTGTTGTCGTTGGCCTGCATCAGATTTCTTAATTTAATTGGCTTTATGCAAGAAGTTCTTGCTCTTCCCCGGCTCGGGCGAACTTTATAGACAAACTGTCTGCAGGTCCTGCTCCTCCTGCTCCCCTGCCCCAGGCCATCTCCAATCTCCAGGCCTGAAGAATCGTGGGAATCGTCTAACTGGGCGCGTGTGGACCCACTGCAAATGCAAAACAGCTTAACCCAATTTTTTGTTTCTGCGCTAAAACAAAAAAAATCAATAAGAAACAAAAGAAAACACTGCACGTAATTGCAAGTTATGAGCAGCAGCCGCCGCAGCAACAACAACGCCTGCTGGCCAGAATAAAATGAAAATCGTTGAGGTTTTCCATCATCGCGTGCAGGCTGGCAGCGTTTTAAGAACAATTGCAGCGCATTTAAGCATAAATGCAAGCAAAAAGTCCGCGTTTCAGCACTCAGAAAAATAATCGAATGAATGTTATAGCAGCCCTGCACTATAGAAATGAAACTATATAGTTTATAGATTAAAAATGTTCCTATACGCATCTAAACTTTCAAAGAGGTAGACATTTTAAACAGACTATGAGTACAAAAGTAGTTTAAAATAATAATACCAAAATTTTATACAACACGAGATTTTATTAAATGGGAAAATATTTAAGTTACATCTAATTTGTTAAGGAATATTAGTTGTGAATATTAAACAACACAATATATGTAGCATACTTAAAAGACGCCTTCGTTAAATCTTAAAAATGATTCGGTTCGTATAATTTTAGCTAGATATTGAAAATTAATTTCAGGATTAGGTAGATTTTGGAAATCTTTCTTCGCGAGAATTCCAATAACATTTAAGACTTGCACTACTTAAAAGTATATACTTTATATACTTTATAATATACATTTGCAGTTATTGACTGTGTTGTTACATATCGGTGTTAGCGGCTGTGAGAGTGTGTGCGACACTTAATCATCAGCGTGAAATGAAGAAAAAGAAATGCCCAAGTCGAGGCCAACTGTGTACTTGGCTCTGCTCTCCTCGCTCCTGAAATTGTACATATATAATTAAGCCATAAATTCTGTTTTTATGATTTTCCACAAAGTTATGAATTTATGGCAGCCCACAAAGCACTCAAAGGCAGACACACACACAACAATTTGCGGCAAAAACGGAAGTGAATTTAAATGCGCGCGCATGCGAAATGGAAGCAGTTCCCCCGACAACCTTTCCGCTAAAAAAAAAGCAGCAGAGTTTCCAAAGAGGAGACCAATCGTAGTTGGCCCGGCCATGTTTGGCCATAAATGTGTCGAGCACTTTGCCCAGACCTCGTAAATTTAACGCTTTTAACTTTTATTTCTTTTTCCTTTTTTCCTTTTACTACGTCTCGCTCTCCATTTCGTTGATGGATGTTGGCCGAGGAGCCCAATAAAATTTAAATATTTATTGCACTCTATATTTTGTTGCCATGCAAATTCGCCGAGGTCCTACAATTTATATAGAGCAGCCTGCTCGGAGGGTGTCCATTTTTGTTGGCTTTTCGGCTACAAAATGCACACACACCGAATTTGCGGCATTAATTGCATAAAATTGTGCCCTGTCGCTGGATATTATATCCCCGACTGAGCGCTACTCCTCACTGGGTCAATTAGCATAATCGCTTTTGAAATTGCAACCCGAACTTAACGTCCATCTCCTCGGGGCGTTGCAAGTGGCGCGTATCTCGAAGTGGCTAATCGCCCTTTGTGCCATCGATCGTCGGGGTTGTCAAGATCGTAGATCGCTCAGAACTTGGGGACCTGTAAAAACGTACGCATTAATACAATAATTGCTGTAATTACGCGAAATGCTCATAACTGTCTGTGTCATGGCTGCTTCCTAATGCGAAAATAACGTTATTAATTTCGAGCTGCCTGCGATGTAAGGGCCACTTGATCTAGACAGCGTTACCAAGTCGAAAGCCACCCCTGGGGAGCTTTTAACTGCATATTACATTGCAATTATTGAAGCCTTGGGAATACACTTTCTAAATTTTAAGTAACTTGGGCTTGAACGCCATCTATAGCATATAGAAATAGCATTTACTGTAAAGAGGTCATACCGGTAAATTTGGAATTAGCCACAAAAATTGTTATTTATACGTTGTTGTTTGTTAAATGGTGATTACTTACTTAATGTATTATGTAACATGTACTGTTGATTACTGTTCCTTTTAGGAAATGTAACTAAAGATGATCAAACTGCCAGTAAATACAAAGAAATTGTTTTCTGTAATATTGGGAATATTGATTTCCTAAATTAATAAATTTTATAAATTTTTAGCCATTGATCAGGCTTTTT